TGGCCTACCAAGTGGTTTCCCAAGTTCTCTCACCAGGCCCACTCCCAAACCCAGGTTGCACATGTACCTGCAAGTGCTAGGCCCTCACCTAGTATAGTCTGCCCACTATGTCCTGGCCTTTGTATGAGCTGTTAGATGTTGTGGCCTGGCCCACCCCAAACCCTTTTTGGGGTATACCTGTAGGTGCTGCAGCCTGGAGCTGCTGGGCCTGCTTCCAGTCTCAGCACCCATGAGTGTCAGAGGGTTCCCTGGTCATGCCTAACTCAGCTCATCACCACCCCTAGCTCTTAAGCTAACCAGCGTAAATTACAGTTCCACAGGGGTTAGCCCACATATCCCCCACAGAATCTGCCCCGGATTCTCTTGCATGCTGGTTAGTGTCATGGCCCAGCCTAACGCGTCCCATTCCCCGTTCCGACATTCACTGGCAGGTACTATGATCTAGCCCTGCCAGGCAGGCCCCCAGCCCTAGCTTTAGTGTGCACCATTGAGTGGTAATTGGTTGTGGTCTACACTAACTAATCCAGTTTAGGCCTTCCACGTGGGCTGGTGTATCATTCTGACCCATAAATGTCCTCCAGCCTCTCTCCTCCAAACTGCCTGGTCTCTGCCCCCTCACTTACCTGCAAGTACAGTGGCCTTGTCTTTAGGAGGCCCTCAAAAGTCAATCCTCATCTACCCATAGATCCCAGCGATGGCCTGAGTGATGCTTAGTACTGTCCTTTCTGCACCTGCCTCCAGAAGTGCAGGCTGGAGTTGAGGGGGCAGGTAGCAGGCGTTTCTGCCCTGCTCTTTCAAAAGCTGAGGCCTCCCCACTTCTTAGGGACACTTTGATCCCCAAAGCAGCCACAGATACCTCCCAGTCATCCTCCCAGCCCTGCCTGCAGGAGCCAGGCTTGGATGCCAAGGCCCCACCTGTGAGTGTGGAATTTGCTCTCAGGACCAGATTGTGGATGGATATCTAGTCCAGAGGTGGCTGTGCCCAGGGACCTGCTCTGTCCCAACTGTGGTTTCCCCATGCTTCTCCCAGAAGGGCTCTGGGACCAGGGACAGGGTGCAGGAGCCAGGCTGGAGATGGACCCTGACAGACACATCATGCTCATCTCTATGGAGACCTCCTGGCCACAGCTGGCCTGGTCACAGCTGGCCCAGCCACCAGATGTTTGATCTGCTCTCAGCTTCATAAATAAACATGGCCAGGTTATTTGCTGCCAGTATAAACAGGGAATGGGTGCCCAGCTTGCCTGTGTTCCCTGAATGGCTGAATTCCTGCCCTGGCCTCACTTCCTCCCTGGGAGCCCCCTTCCCTTCCTTTCTCTCCACCCAGTGTGTGTTTATCAGAATTGTTCCCCAGTCCGTGGCACTTCCCCCCACCCCCTAGTTTTCTGGTTCAGGGAGGAACTCAGGGCATGGCCTTGTCCTTCCCCTCACCTCCTGCTAAGGGTTTCCAGGGGCCCAAGTTTGGGCTGGTGGCTGGGTTCCTGGAGAACTTCATTGCCAGTGGCCACTGAAGGGGAGAATGGGCACCCACCAGGTGCAGTGAGCCTGGGAACTACACTGCACGGCCTGCAGGGGGGCGGGTGGTGTTGGTGGCAGGGTTGTACCAGTGTGGCTTGGAGCCATCATTCCACTTTGTGGCCCTGTGAATCCGAGAAGGCACAGATGTGGCCTCCCCAGCATACAGTGGCCCCACTCAGCAGTCTTCACCCTTGTGATGGTGTGAGACCAGTATTACGTGTTCTGCAGAAACTGTACTTTGAATCTTGACTCTTGGCCTCTCCCGTGGGCTGGGGACATGCGTCCCCCTGTGGGCCCTGAGGTCACCAAGCACACTGCACACACCCCTTTCCTCTACTAGAATAAGTGGCTGTTTGTGTGCCTGTCCGGGCTGGGATCCCTGGCAGGTGTGCGGTTCATTGGAACAGCTGTCACCTTCCTGAACGTCTCAAAGCCTTGGCATCCCAGGCCCCGTCTGTCTGAAAGGTAGAACAACAGAGTTGCTCCCAGCGATTGATTGCATTTCTTCTGAGGCTCACAGCTGCCAGGGTTGGGCCAGGCCACCGTCAGGAGCCACAAACTCAAGTCCTTGTCTCCTGTGTAGATGACAAGAACCCAAGGGCTTGAGCCAGGAACTGCTTGCCGACTTGCCGCCTCCCAGCATGTACCTCAGCAGGAAGCTGGAGTCAGGGACAGAGGCAGGTGCCTATGTCTTCAGTACCCTGTGTTCACTTTCTACTTGTGGTTTCTGCTTTAGGTAGCGTTCTCTCTCTTTTTCCTGGAAAGTAGCTATATTAGGAAGACGAAGAGATTGCAGGCATGCTTGTAGCAGCTAAGAAGGAATTCTGGAATCTTCCAAGACTTAGATTCTGTTCCTTCTGTTCCTCAGACCTCTCACTCCAGCCTGGTCTTGAGCAAGAACTTGACCTGCCGTTTTCCTCCCATCATTTGCAGGCTCTGACAGGTGCTGAACCATTGAATTCTCGAGCAGGTTACTGGTATAGCTTCGCTCCTTTGAACTGTGGTAGACAAGAACGCACTGCTCCTGAAACAGAAAAAAAAAAATAAAATCATTGAATTAGTGGTGTGTTTAAAACAGGCAGAGCTGTTTGCTGGCTTTAGCTGTTGATGGGGAAGCGTGACTGAGATCCCCACTGACCCTGACCTGTCCTTTGGTCCTGCCGAAGGGCAAGATTTTCCACTGGATGTCAGTGGAGAAGGCCAACAGCTGGACCTCTGAATTGCCTTTGGTTCTAGAGACAGTGGGGACTTTGAGATTCCTCTAAACGCCAAGATCTGGGCCTTACATGGCAGAGGAAGGGACTTTGGGTAGTTTGGGGACCTTGGGTTTAACACTCGCAAGAGAGATGGCAATACCTTTCTTCCACGCCCCTGAGGGGTCAGTGTTGTAGCACAGCTAGGTTAAGCCACTGTCTGTGGTACCAGCATCTCATGAGCACGTGTTTGAGACCCTTCTGTTTCCTGCTAACATACATGAGAAAGCAGCAGAAAGGAACTGGTCCAGTTCCTTGGGCCCCTGCACCCACTTGGGAGAACTGGATGGAGCTCCAGGGTCCTGGCTTCAGCCTGGTCCAGCCCCTGTGGAAGATTCATTCTCTCTCTCTCTCCCCTCCTCCCCCCAACTCTGTCTTTCCAATAAAGAAAGAAATGTTTTTAAAAAGGAAGGGAGGGGCCTGGCACGGTGGCCTAGCAGCTAAAATCCTCGCCTTGAACGTGTCGAGATCCCATGTGGGCGCCAGTTCTAATCCCGGTGGCCCCACTTCCCATCCAGCTCCCTGCTTGTGGCCTGGGAAAGCAGTCAAGGATGGCCCAAAGCCTTGGAACCCTGCACCCGCTTGGGAGATCCAGAAGAAGCTTGTGGCTCCTGGCTTCTGATCAGTGCAGCTCTGGCCGTTGCGGTCACTTGGGGAGTAAAACATTGGACAGAAGATCTTCATCTCTGTATATCTGCCTTTCCAATAAAAATAAATAAATCTTAAAAAAAAAAAAAAAAGGTGTGTGTTGGGGGAGGCACTCAGGAGCCTGGGGCAGTCATCCAAGAAGGGGCGTCAGGCCCAATTCAGAGTGGGTTGGATGGCAGGCAGGCTGAAGCCCTCCCCAGTGAGGTGGCAGGACGAGCCAGCCTACTGAAATCTGCATTTCAGATATCAGGCGAGTTTAGGGTGAAATGGCTGTAGACTGGAATCTGCATTTCAAAGTCTTAAGCAAGCAGCATAGAAAGTCATTGTGGGGGAGACTGGGCAGAGTAAGGGAGACAACTGCATGTTCACATGCTCCCACATTCTCATGATTACCCGCACAGAGTCTGACCATAAGGCTGGGTCCCTTGGCCTCACCTGGGGGAGGCCTCTCTCTCTCTCTCTCTCTCTCTCACACACACACACACAGAGCACACACACATTCTGAGACAGAAGCCACATGGCCTAGGCAGTCCCCCCAGCTGCGTGTAGACACCTGTGCCATCCCACAGATGACGGTGACACAGCCAGTGCAGTACCAGGCCCCAGGTGGGGTGGCAGTGGGTCTCAGTCCTAGCTGCCTGCTGGAATCCCCACCCACCCATCCTGACCTCACTCCAGAGAAGCCTTTACGACCAGCAGGGTCCTCCCCCCCAGCACATGCATCTGCCACAGGACGTCAGGGTGTGTGTGTCAGTGTTGGACATGGATGTCTTCTGCTTTCAAAGCTCTCCAGGTAGAACCCAGCATTGTAGCGTGTGAAGCTGCCACCTGTGACAATGGCATAACATTTGGGCATGAGTTCAAGTCTTGGCTGCTTCACTTCCCATCCAGCTCCCTGCTGATGCACCTGGGAGAGCAGCAGAAGGTGGCCCAAAGTGCCTGGGCCCCTATCACCCACATGGGAGACGCAGGTGAAGTTCCTGGCTTTGGCTATTGCTGCCATCTAGGGAGTAAACCAGAGGATGGAAGATCTTTCTTGTCTTTCAGTCTCTATGTGTTTCAAATACATTCTAAAAATCTTTTTTAAAAAATCATTTTTTCCTGTGCCTTCTTGTACCAGGCCATTTTCAGGTTTCAGTGGCAGGAAAAAAAAGCAGAGCAGGATGAGTTCAGGAGGTGCCACTGGTGTAGCTCCCTAGGTGCCAGCAAGGGTCTGAGAAGGGGCATACACCTCTCTGTCCTTGCGTGGTCCACTTTGCAGTCTAGGAGTTGGATCCACCTGCTCCTGGGAATGCTTTGGACAAAGCCGTCATCCTTTTCCAGGCGTGCCTCCTCATCTCCTGGGGAGGTAAGCACTGGACAAGGCCTATTTACAGCAACCTCTGGCTGCAAACATCACCCCATTCGAGTTTGACAGACGTAGCTCTGGGAAACTAGGCAGGCTGACTGCTCAGGTCAAAGTAGCCAAGAAAGTGGACACAGCGATGCCCTAGCCTCTGCACCATGTCCCAGGACCAACAGCCGTCCGTCCCCCCCCGCCCCCGCCTGTCTCTAACGCCAGCTGCTTCTTTGCACTCACAGACACCTCGTTTGGAACGTCCCCCGGGTATGGTTGTGCCGCAGACCGGGCGGAGGAGCAGCAGCGCCGGCACCAGGACGGGCTGCCCTACGTTGACGACTCGCCCTCCTCCTCCCCTCACCTCAGCAGCAAGGGCAGGGGCAGTCGGGATGCTCTGGAGTCGACCAAAGCGGTGAGTCTCCAGGTGTGCACCTGCCTCACCCGGCAGGTGTGAATGGATGTAGGCAGGTGGGGTGGAGCTCAGCTCTGACCCAGCCCTTGTCATCCTGGGGGCTTCTGGCGGGCGCCTGGCAGGTAGGCGATGCCCTGAGACAGACGGCGCTGCTGCAGCGTGCCCACATCCAGGTGCAGATTCTGCAGGATGTATTGAACCTCAGGAGACCAGGGATGCTTTGTAACCTGAGTGCGAGCGAGCACTCAGCAGCCTTGGCTTTTTGAGTCTGAGAGGACAGGGGTGGGCGATGGTTGGTCCCAGGCCACCAGCAGATCGTCACAGTAGCTTTAGCCGCGGCCCCTTGCCCCCTGCAGAGCACACCTGCCTTCTTTTCCCCATGGAGGGGGGAATGTGGGGGTGTTTGGGAGATGCTGGGAACAGCTTCACCTGTCAAACCCAGGGTCTGTCCCACGCATGCTCTGGTCTGTTCCCTCAGTAACAATGCCGTGGACGTGCTGTGAACTTTTATACATAAAGGCACAGAGCTAGGTTCTTAGGGTCAGGTGGTTCATGGAGGAGGGAGCCATGTCCAGCAGACTGGCACTGCCACATGGAGGCCTGTGGACTGCCCCCACTCACTGTCATTGGGGTGGTTGCACAGAGTGGGGTCTATCTGGCCTGGTGTATGTGGTGGTGGGGGCACCTCCTCAGTGCTTAGGGGACCACCTTCTGCTACTAGGGCCAAGCCACCTCCTCTGACACCCTTGAGCCCTTCACTGTCCCAGGGCCATCACTCTTGTCTGTCTGTTGGGGCCCTGGTTACAGATGCCTCCTCATTTCTGGGTGATTCCTGGGTCCTGAAAACAGGGAAGGCACCAGTCACATGGAGTGGATAGATCAGCTCTCGCTTTGCTCTGTGGATCCCCCAGCCACAGGATGAATTATTCCCCCATCTTTGTCACTTCTGACCATGTCAGCTATGGCTGGGGCTTCTTGTTCCGAAAGCTGAGTCTGAGAATGAAAACCAGCCTGTCACACACACCTGCTACCGCCTTGCACGCAGCACATGCTGCCACCTTTATGAGGCTTCTTTAAAAAAAAATTTTTTTTTAATTGGAAAGTCAGATATACAGAGAGGAGAGACAGAAAAGATCTTCCATCCGATGATTCATTCCCCAAGTGACCGCAGTGATCAGCCAGAGCTGCGCTGATCCAAAGCCGGGAGCCAGGAGCTTCTTCCGGGTCTCCCACACATGTTCAGGGTCTCTACGCTTTGGGCCGTCCTTGACTGCTTTCCCAGGCCACGAACAGGGAGCTGGCTGGGAAACAGGGCCGCCAAGACATGAACCGACACCCATGTGGGATCCTGGCATGTGCAAGGCGAGGACTTTAGCCTCTAGGCTACCACGCCAGGTCCCTTTATGAGGCTTCTTAAAAGATTTACTTGAAAGGCAGAGTTATTGGAAAAAGGAGAAACAGAAACATCCTCCATCCACTGGTTTGCTCCCCTAAAGGCTGGAGCTAGGCTTATATGAAGCCAGGAGCCTGGAGCTTCCTCTGGATCTCCCACCTGAGTTCAGGGTCCCAAGCACTTGGGCCTCACTCAGCTGCTTTCCCAGGCCATTAGCAGGGAGCTCAATCGAAGCAGAGCAGCCAGGACTTGAACCAGTGCCCGTATGGGATGTTAGTTCCACAGACAGAGGTTTAGCCCACTACTGTATGGCAATGACTCCTCGGAGGCTTTGCATTCCAAGACCAGTGTGTGGTGGTTTATAGCTAACAGCCCAGAGGTGAATTCACTTGCTCAGGTACACACAGTGTGACAATGACGTTTGAAGCCCTCCTGACTCCTCCTCCTCCTCTTGCTGCATGATTGATGACTGAGAGAGACCCTCAGAACTCTGAACCAGTGAGGCTGAGTCGCAGCTTCGAGAGATTGGTCCCTACAGAAGGGCTGAGGTCTTGGTGCACCTTCTGGCCCAGAGGGGAAGCCAGTCTGTCTGCTCCATGCCCACCCCAGGCCCTGCGTGGCTGGGGTTCCCACCCCATCAGGCTTCTGTCTTAGTGGAGTCCAGCCTGTACTTTTCAGCTCCACAGTGCAGGGAATTCTTTCATATCCTAGCTTCCCCTCACTGCATCGGGGCCTCACAGCAGATCTTGAGGTTTTGTTCATGTTACACACGTGGTGGGTGGGGGCTCACGTTTGTGCCTGCTGGTTCTGGAAGTCTCCGTTCCCAGGCACATGCATCTCCTGGTGCAGAGCAGGTGTCGGGAGGCATGTGTGGGGAGTGGGGTGATTTTCCGCTGGAGAAGAGCTGGGTGGCTCCATTCCAGCATCCCCGCCCACCCTGATGCATTTGAAGCTCCCTTCACTGCCAGCTCTTTCATTTTTCCATTTCTGACTTGAAGATGTGGTTGGTTGCTTCCCACGGCCCCCATGAACCTAACCAGCCAGCAGGAGTGGCAGGCCTCCTTTTCCCTCCTAGAGCTGCTCCCCACCCACCCAGGCCCTCATCTGCTCCTTACAGCCCAGCTCAAGTGTCTGGGGCTCCTAGGACTGCTCTGAGAGCCCCTTCTTGGGAACCAGGCAGGGGGTGTTTAGTGGGACTTGCATGGGTCGACACGTCTTTCCCAGAAGCACCTGGGACGGAGGGAAGGACTTGGGCAGGTGGATTTATTGGGAGGGCTCATGGTGATGGAGATTGGGCACAGCCTGGCCTGCATGCATGGGTGTCCCCATTCGCAGGATGGGTGTACCCACAGATTGCGTGTTCCTGGCCTGGGGTATGTGCACTGAGCTTCTCTGGTCACCTGGCATGGGTAGTGGTGGCATGGTTATGAGGAAGGGCCTCCTCACACTGGACACCCCTCAGCTGTGACTCCTGCCTTCCCTCACCTTGGCCTGGCAGCTGATGCTGGGCAGTGTCCCCTGGACCCCCTTCAGCAGAGCCCATCTCATAGTCAGGAGTCTGGTTTGTCTGGGTCAGTCCTTCACACATTGGGTTTGGTAGAGTTTGGCAGGAAGACGTGTCTTCCCGGTGTGCCTCTCCTCCCTCTTACTGCAGGCCCAGCCGATGAACTGACCGACCAACTGACTGACTGTGCTCCCAGGCCCTGTCTGAGAACTGGCAGTGCTGCCCAGGGCTATAAATAGCCTGGTGCCAACCCTGCCCTTTGCTTCTCTTTCCCTTCCCCATCTCCTTTCCAAATGAGAAGAGCTTGGCTGCTTTCCTGCTACCAGCTCTGTACTCCGGGGTGGTGGTGGTGGGTGGGGATACGACTTGGCAGAAGGTTAGGAGCTCTCTTGCTGGTATCTTCCTTCCGCTCGGCGCCTTCCCTGCCCCCAGATGTTCCCTGGAAGAGTGGATATCCCACCCCCATAGAACTGGGAGTAGGTGGATCAGCCCCAGTGCTCCCAGCAGCCTGGTGGACTCCCCGGGCCCGCCGGATTCCTGGTGCTCACACAGTAGCCAGATTTGTTCTCAGCACTGGGAGGGGTGGATGGCAGCGGTGGCGGCAGCTGGAAAGACCTACTGTTTCCTTCATCTCTCCCTCTCCTGTGTAAGGCAGGGAGCTGTGTCTTGGTCACATGGGAAGCGACATGCAGGGCACCATTGACACAGAGATGACGGCGTCCCCACCCCCAGCCCCACTCCATGTATCTGTGCCTGCTGTGGGCAGTGACTTAGCCCAAGTACCTGCCCACCAAGGGTAGGCTCAGCTAGCAGTCCTGGTTTTACCCAGGACCCTTAGATTAAGATACCCTACACACATACCTTTTTTAAAAATAATAATGTTAAAACTCGGCACCCAGCTGGGTCTTCCAGACCCACTAGCTGATTTAGTTACAAGATTATGAAATGCATCTTTGCTGTGTTTCAGGCATAGCTGTGGCCTGGAGGCCACCCCTCCCCACGCAGGATGCAGCTGCAGATACATGCATACACTTAGGCCTACACACTTACACACCTGCACACAGGCGTGCACTCACAGCAGCTTACACACACAGTGCACGCCTGCAGCTACTTAAGGCAGTCCCAGGAGGACGTGGTGCAAGTCCTGGCCACACAGGTGCTCTGAGAGGACTAAGAGGATTGTACCTTGCTTCTACAGTTTATGTCCAGTTAGCCTGAGACCATGGGACTCACTGGGCTGACTAGACGTTCAATGTGAACCGTGATGGGCTTCCTTCCTGCCAGGCCAGGGGCAGCAGGGTTTGGAGGACTACAGAGAAGCCACATTAGGGAGACCTGGATGCCAGGATGCCGAGACCCTCTTGAGCCCTGAGCAGGCTTCGGTCAGGCCCTTGTTCAGAGTTCTCAAGGAGCGGGTGTGTGACATCCTCTGAAGGCAATGGCGAATGTCAACACCTGCTGAGTAGAGACCGGGGATGGTGTCCCAACGGTCCCTCAAGGCACAGGAGAACTCCTCAAGCTCCCCTTCTCCCCCAGAGACTCCTCTAGCCCCGGCTGGTAGCAGTGCCCATGGCGAGAAGCTTTAGTGACTTCCCCAGGGCTGGGCAGGGCTGTACAGAGCCGGGGTGACCCCCCAGCCCCATGCAGTTATAGGGAACTGCTTTCATGTGCCCAGGTGTGGGTTGGAGATTCAAAGTGGAGCAACCAGGACTCAAACCGGCACTCCTTTGGGGTGCCTGTGCTGTAGATGGCAGGTTTACCTGGTAAGCCCCAGTGCTAGCCCCAAGGCTTAGTGCTTCTTAGTTAAAGTTCACTCCTGTGGGAATCAAATGATCCTGCAAGAACTTCCTCATTGGCTCCAAGGATGATCCCTTGGCCTAATCCCTCCCACTAGGCTCCGCCTCTTAAAGGCCCCATCACCTCAGATCCTACATCAGCCTCTGGCAGTGGAAGGCAGACACAGGAATATAAGGGAAGGAACATAATCCAGCTAGGATCTGGAGCGGGGATCCCCAGGGATGTGGAACAGTCCAACCCTGTATCCCAAAAGCACCAGAATGTCGACTGGGCGGCTAAGCAGGAATGTTGATGGGAAGGGGGACTTGCTGAGAGCCCACCTGTAAGAGAGGCTTTGCCAGCAGTCAGATCCTATAAGGCAGGATTCAGGTACTGGAGCCAGGGATTCCCTTGGGCAAACATCTGCAGCTGCAGCTGCCAGCCCCTTGCCCCTATAGCAGGGAGGGGCAGGGGCAAGGCTGCTGCCAGGCCTGGGCTGTGCCAGTCCAAGGGTCAGATGTCAGCAGCAGTCAGAAGACCCGGGTGAGGCAGGCACCAGGTGAGAAGCTTAGAAAGTGTGGGCTTGGGCTCCAGCTGGAGCTGGCAGGAAGCTGTGAGTAGCCGTGGGGTGGATGAGGTCTTTGACACCCCCTGGGCACAGCCTCCAGCCAGAGCTGTGTTTGAGAGGGCTTCCTGCTTGCTGTGCCAACCGTAGACCCTTCTTCCTCTCCTGGGCTCTGTTGGAGCAGCCACTTTTGTGGAGAGAGGCCACCCCACTAAGACTAAGACTGGCCCTTTGGCTTGGCCAGATGACCCATCTGGCACCGCATGGGTGGCTGAGCGCACACTGAGGCTTTGTGTCTCCCTTCCAATGCAATGAGCAACCCTCTGGTCAGGACAGGGAGGAGAGGGTGGTGCCCAACAACTGACAAGCCAACTTCTTTCCCTCCCCAGACAGGGTTGTCTCCAGCAGCCATGCTGCCCACCCCACCATCCCCAGTCTGACTTTCCTGTCCGTTTCTCTTGCAGAATGAGCTGGACTTGGAGAAAGGCCTGGAGATGAGAAAATGGGTTCTCTCTGGAATCTTGGCCAGTGAGGAGACCTACCTGAACCACCTGGAGGCTCTGTTGCTGGTGAGAGAGGCCTTGGCGGTACGGGGGTTGCAGTATGGGATGGGGTCCTATCCTCCCACACATCTCCCCATCCCCAGGGAACAGGCTACCCTCCATGGAGTCACAGGTGCACCTGTGGGAGGGCGCAGATCTTCCACCTCTGCGGAAATCTTTTTTCCCACCAAGAGGCAGTGAATACCAGGGAAGAACAAGCTATCGGCCACATTGCTGGGTTTTCTCTTGTGGAGGGGGGTGGAGAGTGGGTAATGTGGATTTTAAAACAGAAGCAGGAGGGTGTGTCACTGGCATAGCCGGTTAAACATCTGTCTGTGGCACCGGCATCCCTAACGGGAGCCAGTTCGAGTCTGGTCTGCTGCCTTTCAGATCCAGCTCCCTGCTGATGGCCTGGGAAAGGTAGCAGAGGATGGCCCAAGTGCTTGGGCCCCTGCTGCCCATGTGAGAGCTGAATCAAACTCCTGGCTTCCAGTTGGCCCAGCTCTGGCCCACTGTGGTCAGTTGGGGAATGGATCAGGGGATGGAAGATCTCACTCCCTATCTCTCATCATCTCTCCTTCTGCCTTTTCAATAAAAATAAACGAACGGATGGATGAGCGAATCCCACATCACCACCTGCTTCAGTGGTGGTACCTGGGCACCTGCCCAATGGATGCCCTCTCACTGTGCGCCCCTGCTGCCTTGCAGCCCATGAAGCCATTGAAAGCTGCCGCCACCACGTCTCAGCCGGTGCTGACGAGCCAGCAGATTGAGACCATCTTCTTCAAAGTGCCTGAGCTTTACGAGATCCACAAGGACTTCTATGACGGGCTTCTCCCCCGCGTGCAGCAGTGGAGCCACCAGCAGCGAGTGGGCGACCTCTTCCAGAAGCTGGTGAGGGCTGCAGGGGTGTCTGGGTGGGGACCAGGCCGTCCTGTGTTCTGCAGGTGCAGGCCTGCTTGCCTACCTGCCGAGGAGACTCAAGTGGGAAAGTGAATGAGTATCGGGTATGTGTGTGTGTGTGTGTGTGTGTCTGTCTGTCTGTCTGTCTGTCTGTCTGTCTGTCTCAGAGCCTGGGATGCCAGAGGGCAGGGTACAAGGAAGGAGAGGCCAAGGAGGGTGGGAGTGGGGAGCCTACTTTGGTTCGGGACCCTCGAGCAGGCCATCCTCCAATCTCCTTCACACTTGTTACGTCATGGGGTTCCTTCTAGGTGTACCCAGCTTCTAGTCTACAAACCAGTCCCAGCCACCCAGGGGAAATCGCCCTTGAAGACTGAAGTGATATGAGACTGGGGGTGTGTGCGTAGCGGGTGCGGGTGTCCTGGATGGAATAGAGCAGGGATTTGTAGTGGTGTTTTTGTTTTGTTTTGTGTAGTAGTTATCAGACTCAAAAACCCTTGAAGTGGCTTGACTTAAAACAGCTAAGAGAATAGGCTTTTTTTTTTTTTTAAAGATGTCTCTATTTGGAAGGCAGAGTACATGGTCAGGAGAAATAGAGCTTCCATCAGCTGGTTCACTCACCATATGTTCTCAACATGCAGCACTGAGGCCAGGAGTTTGGAACTCCCGTCTGGGCTCTCACTTAGGTAGAGCAGTCCAGGGACTTGGGCCATCTTGTGCTGCTTTTCCGAGCACTTAAACAGAACTAGGTCACAGAACTGGAAACAGAGGAGCCAGGACTTGAATTGGCACCCAGATAGGATGTGAGCGTCCTGAGGGGTAGCAGCCTAGCCCATCATGCCACAACACCGGTCACCCTCCCTGCTCCCCTGGAATCTCCTGCACCAGAATAAAATGACGTTTCGATTAATTAAATTTGAGAAAGTGATTGAGCTCCGGTCTACTGGTTCCCTCTCTAAATGCCTGCAAGAGCCAAGCTGAACCCAGGGGTTTGGAACTCAGTCTGCCATATTTAACCTAAACGAGCCATGCCTTATTGCCTACCACAGTCTTTGTCAGTGGGGAGCTGGAATTAGGAGCCAGAGTTGGGTATCCAACCCAAGAATCCCAGCATCTCAGCCAGCATCCTGACTGCTCAGCCACACACCTGCCTCTAAGCGGTCCCTTAATTCCATTTTGTTTTGTTTTCATGAACTTATTAGTAAAGTCCTTTCAAGCAATGCAGAGAGGATCGAGGTGGGTCCCCTGCCTTGACTTTCACCCTGTATCTGCCCTTACGCCAAAAGGAATACTCTCCCCCAACCCCTGCCCCACCCTCAGCGGCTGTCATGTTGAAGACAGGTGGAGTAAGGGCCAGGACTGGCCAGGAACCCACAGGCGTTCTTGAATTTAGGACAGTTTAAGTCTCACAAAGTTGATCCTCTGTGAAGTCAGGAGCCATCTGTGTCTGGTTTGGGTGACCGTAGGATCCCCGTGTAGGTGTAAGAGGTAGAAACATGTTGTGGAATGACAGAAGCCCAAGGGGAAGGTAGCTCAGTGGGGCTGAGCAAACCAGAGATTTTCCTGTAAAAATTAATTTGGGGGGCGGGGGCGGGTGACAGTGCTGGCATCAAGGCATCGCCACCTGTGACACCTATATTCTATATGGACATCATTTCATGCCCCAGCTGCTCCACTTCTGATCCAGCTCCCTGCTGATGCACCTCAGAAAAGCAGTGGAAGATGACCACAGTGTCTGGGTCCCTGCACTCGTGTGGGAGACCTGGAGGAAACTCTTGGCTCCTTGCTTCTGCCTGGCCCAGCTCTAGCTGTCTGTCGCAGCTGTCTGGAGAGTGAACCAGAAAATTGAAGATCTCTCTGTCCTTTCTAATTCTGACTTCTAAGTAAATAAATAAATCTTTAAATAAAATAGAGTTGCCAGGGACCGGCGCATGAAGTATTCCACTGAAGGGGCTGATGGGGCTCCACATTCCTACACTGACCAGGCCACACCCAGGAGAAGTTTTAGATTCAGATTCACTTGTAATTGAGACAAGAATGACTGTAGAAGTTATCTAAAAGACTGAATCTGAGACAGGGCCAGAGTAGAGCTAGGGAGCTAGGAATGAGCATCCAGTCAGGGCAGCCCACGTATCTGTGTGAGGTGACCCCACCCCTGGAAAGCAGAGCCAGGCAGCTGGCCATCAGAGTCACCCCGCAAGGTGGCTGCCCTACCTGGAAGACTCTGGGAGAGGGGTGCCTTGTGGACGCGTGTGGCTGGGATCTCCTGTCCCAAACCCTGACCCTGTTTTCTGGGAGCCCTTGGGAGCCTCCTGTGCATGGGCTCCCTCTCTGGAATCTTTGTCCCAGATGGGACCGGTCCAGGCCATCAGTACATCCAGAGCCCAAGGCTGCTGTGAGGCAACATCTTTTCCCTCTGTCACTGCTCTGGGCTGCAGGAGCTGGGACCAGGGGGAAGCAGCAGGAGGCGGAGGAGGAGGTATACTCAGTCTGCTCTCAGTCTTGCCTCCTGCTGGGACTCCTTGCTCCGTGATCAGAAAGGGCAGAAGGCTGTGTGCTGATGAAGGTGCCTCCCTACTTTTGGGTCGTACCACCACCACCACCACCACACCATCACTCCCCTATGCTAAGTCAGCGAGCTTAAAGGCCAGTGGCTTCCACTGACCCGGAAGCCTGTGGAGGCAACAGAGAATCGTGTTGGAAAAAAACACACAGACAGAAAGTAGCCTCTCCCCAGAACATCCTGAAATTACTTGGAAATTTTGACCTTTTTTTTTTTTTTAATTCTTCCTGCCACTGCCTTTAATAGAACTTTAATAGTCTCATGAATGCCAGAACTTGCATTTACAAAGTTTCCTTTGGTTTTCCTGGCAACCTTGAATGGCCTCAGCACATCAGATGCTGCAGCAGGAAGGCCAGAGCCCGTGGTGGGGAGTTGGCTACAAGTGGGCTGTGTGCTGCCTCGTTTCCCCAAGGACAGACAGGCTGGGCCCTGCCCTCAGCCGTCTCAGATCAGCCCAGCAGTAGCCAGAGTCTAACGATTAAAGGAATTCAGGCTACCTTGCCCAGCAACCTTGTAAATCCTCACCTTGAATGTGCTAGGATCCCATATGGGTACCAGGTCATGTCCCAGCTGTTCGACTTCTCAGCTCCCCTGCGTGTGGCCTAGGAAAGCAGTAGAGGATGGCCAAAAACTTTGGAATCCTGCATCCACATGGGAGACCTGGAATGAAGCTCCTGGCTCCTGGCTTTTTGGATCAGCTCAGCTCTGGCTGTTGAGGCCACTTAGGGGGTGAACCATTGGAATGGAAGATCTTTCTCTCTGTAAATCTTTCCAATACAAGAGTTAAAGAGAAAGGGAAATCTTCCATCTGCTGATTCACTTCCCACATGGCTACACTGGCTAGGGCAGGGCCAGGCCAAAACCAGGAGCCCAGAGCTTCCTCTGGATCTCCCATGTGAGTGCAGGGTCCCAAGGCCACAGACCATCCTCCGCTGCTTTCCCAGGCCACAAGCCAAAAGCTGGATGGGAAGTGGAGCAGCTGGGACTCCAAACTGGCATCCGTAGGGGATGCTGGCGTCGCAAGTCGGTGGCTTGACCTGTGACACCATGACCTGTGACACCATGACACTGGCCCCACATTTCTGTTTCCCTAAGCATTTCAGACTGAGAGAAGAGTTTGAAGGGCAAGACCCAGGGATGCTCTCGCAGCCTTTGTCCACAGGGACCAGTTGTAGCATTTTACCACGCTTGCATGCTGTGTGTGTGCATGCGTGTGTGTATGCATGCTCACCCCCTCACTCACACACATATGCACAAATGTGCACTGTCGCATGCGTACTTTTTCCTGGAAACCTTGAGAGTGAATTGTAGCTCTGGCCCTTTATCCTTGAAACCCTTTGTTTGCTAAGAATGAGAACATTCTCTCTGATAACCCCCTGTATGGTTTGTCAAATGCTTTTACAGGTGCGATTCTGTTACTTAACCTTAATTTCATATGCAGATTGCTCCCCGCCACCCCCACCCAGCTTCTGGTTGAGGCTCCCTCTGGGGCCCGTGTGACACTCCTGGTTGTCACCTCTCTGTAGACTCCTTCCTTCTGTACCAATTCCTGAGACTTGGCTTGTCTCCCGTGACCTCAGCGTTTGTCTGCTGTTCGCTTAGGAAGCCGTATGTGTTCTGTGTTTTGAAGTATGGCCACAGGGATTAGAAGGAGCAGTGAGTCCTCAGCTGCATTTGAGCTTTTCCTTGCTCTTCCTCTCTGATGAGCTGGAAGGGTGGAAGCCAGCTGCCTGGAGCTTGTCACACCTGTAGGATGTGAGCTCTGTGGGTGGATGGGAAGAAAAGGTGTCACCCGAGCTCTGCTGAGCTGGCTGTCACTCAGTCCAGGCAGCACCCTTTAGACAGCAGCCTCGGGGGCTGGAGCCGTGGGACCGCAGGTAAAGCCCTTATAATGTGCCATTGTGAAGGTCCCGCTGCTCCACTCCCAGCTCCTTGCCAGTAACCCCTGGGAAAGCAGCAGATGACGGCTCATGTCCTTGGGCCCCTGCCACACACATGAGAGACCTGGGTTCCAGGCTCCAGGCTTTGGCCTGGCCCAGCCCTGGCCATTGCAGCCATCTGGGGAGTGAACTGGTGGTTGGAGGAGAGCTCTCTGCGTCTCTGCCTCTCTGCCACAGCCCTCAGCTGTCACACTGTACTTGCATGTGCGCGTCCACTTTTTCCTGGTGTGTTCTCCTATCAGAGCACCAGCGGTGGCAGAGGGCGGCACTGGACCACAAGGAGCCCAGTGGCAGACACTCAGTAACCTAGGGAGGAGGAGTGAGGGTAAGGGGGAGGAACTCTGGGAGCTCAGCATGGCACCCATGAGGAAGGATCTGGAAGTATCAGGGTGGGGAAGGTGGTCAGCATGGCAGGAACCCAGCAGGGCTGCCTGCCCTCAACACCCACTGCTGTTGTCTTCCAAGGGTCCATGTGTAGCCCCTGCCGGGCACCTGGCCAGAAGACCAGACAGTGCCTCGGGCGCCCGGTTCACCCAGCGTCTGGGGTTGTCTTCCAATATAAATGCAAATGTTTGTGGAAATGAAATTTAAGGCTTGACACAGAACAGACACCAGGAGCAGCCCTGGGAGGGCTCTGATGGTCTGCTCTTCCCCTCCCTGCCACCTCAGCCAGGCCTGGATTTCCTGGTCCCAGGTTAGGGCTGGTTGCACCTCCCCACCCATACCTGTCCCACTGTCTCCGAAGAGATATGGGGCCTAGTGATGATGGTCGTCGTGGCTACGCACACCCCAAGCCACCCACCCATCCATGACCCACTCATCACCCGCTTGGATGAGTGAATGCCTGCCTGTCACAGCTGCTGCAGCCAACAGGTTTCCCGTGACACCTGGGTCCTGCCCCCTCCCTGGCCAAGCCTGGGCAGTGGTGGCAAGAAACCCTTTTTCTCCTCCAGCAGCCAGACTCTGCATCCCTTCCATGTCTAGCAGGATCTGGCTTGAGTACCACAAGTCCCCAGAGGTTAGGACCATCCCAGGTGGGTGGTCCCCAGAAGCCAGACTGGACAGGCCCATGTCCACCACACCTGTGCAAAGTCACCAGCTGCCCTTGCACCTGAGCTGCTGCCATGCGTGAGCGCATGGGGTGGGAGGAATAAGCAGCCCTGGCAGGGAGTCAGTCTCTGCTTGGGCGCCGTGAGTCACTTCTCAGCCTGTCACTTGGGAGAGGGAAGTGCGGGGGATGCAGGTGGGAGGTGTAGGGTGGGGTGGGGCACAGAGGAACTGCAGATTCTGCGGCTGGTGCCGCATGGTTGGCCATCTCTGAACCATGCACGGGAGCCCGTTGTGCAGAGAGGTGGGCAGCAGCAGGGTCCCTGGCCTGCACCTGTCCCATACACCGCTGTCTGTTTCCGAATCCCTGCAGGCCAGTCAGCTGGGTGTGTACCGGGCCTTTGTGGACAACTACGGGGTTGCCATGGAAACGGCCGAGAAGTGCTGTCAAGCCAACGCTCAGTTTGCAGAAATCTCTGAGGTAACAGACACCATGATGTACAGTTGCACAAGGTCCGGGGCTGTGGATGCCAAGCTCTGTTTCCAGACTTGGCTGGGTGTACGCTCTCCGCAGCTCTGTGCTGTGAGCACACAGGACGAGTCCTCAGATGCCTGCCTCCTGCCAAGGGTCAGTGCCAGCCAGCTGTGGGCTCAGCCTCTGTCTTAGTCTTCCTTGCATCTGTCGCTTGCAATGGAACACACGGAACTGGGGCATCAGTTAAGAACACTGGTTTGCTGAAGCTTTCAGTGCGAGAGGGTGAGCATAGGCAGCCAGTGAGAGCCTTCTTGCTCTGTCCTGATGGGACAAGGGGCGTCCGCTGGTTCTGCCCCCTTTTAGGATACTGCCAGTGCCCCCCTCATGACCTCATTTAATCCTAATCAGCCTCCCCAAAAAGACCCTCCCCCCCATCTTCAAAACCAGGAGCGTTTGGATCTGGACTCCCACTCTAGTAGCCAAATGCCCCAACCACCAGTCATGTCAGTGACATCTGGCCACAGTGCAGAATGTTCTGTGGTACTGCCCCCACCCCCCTTATCAGTCAGAGCTCAGGACACGAGACCTCCTTGAGGGCTTGTCACAGGTGTCACTGGCCATGTACCTTGTCCCCAGACTAGATGGGTGTGGCCCTTGTCTTTTCCAGGAAAGTGAGGTGGATGCTCTAAGAGGTGGGGTTGTTGAGGGGCAGGTAGAAGGGAGCCAGGGTGGCGTTGGCCTGTGTGCCCCAGTGGCCCCACGTGCAAAGGAGAGCTCTACGTTGGAGATGTGTACAGCCCAGTCATAGGTCAAAGGCATGGCCATGTCCCATGCAGGACCAAAACCTCAGACTGAAGTTCAGTTGCAGGGACTGCAGAGAAAGTCCATGGCCAAATGTGAGTCATGCAACAGGAATTCAAAGTGTTTTTGTACCCGGCTGGGTACATTTGTAAGAATTTGCGCTGGCATGGTAGCCTAGCAGCTAAGGTCCTCGCCTTGCACATGCTGGGATCCTATGTGGGCACCAGTTTGTGTCCTGGCAGCCCCACTACCCATCTACCTCCCTGCTTGTGGCCTGGGAAAGCAGTTGAAGATGGCCCAAAGCCTTGGGACCCTGTACTCGCGTGGGAGACCCAGAAGCGGCTCCGGGCTCCTGCCTTCAGATTAGCACAGCTTGCAGCCATTATGGCCACTTGGGGAGTGAATCATCAGATGGAAGATCCTCCTTTCTGTATATCTGGGGGGAAAAAAAGTTTTTTACTGAAAGCCTAGAAATTGAGACAGACAGGAGATATGCCATCTGCTGGTTCATTGCTCCCCACCCTTAAATTCCTGTGAGGGCATGTAGGGCCCAGGCCCTCCATCTAGGTATCCCAAACAGGTGGCAGGAAGCCCAAATGCTTGCTGTGGTCAGGTGGCTCAGACACCAGCCCTTAAACTTGTCTTTTCATTCTGTTTTTTTCTAAGAATTTTTTTGACATGTCTTTGTATCAGTAGCTGGGATCTGGAAGGAGTCTGGGAGACCAGGGGTCTAGAGGTGAAGTTGGGGCCAAAGCCACCTGGAAATCAGAGCTGGACCCTTTGGAGCAGCAGGTGTTAACACTGCATCAAGGGATGCCAGCATCCTCATATGGGAGTATGGATTCCAATCCTGGTGACTTTCTGATCCAACTCACCTGCTAACACCCAACCCAGGAGAGAGCAGGTTGGTGGAGCTTAAGTCCTCCCACCCCTGCCACCCACATGGGCGAGCCTGGATAGAGTTCCGGGTTTCTGGCTGAATTAGGACTTTGTGGGAATAAGTCAATAGGTAGACCATCTTTCCCTCCATCTCTTCCTAAAAAACGTGAAGAAGATGAAAGAAATAGAGAAGGCCTCGTGAAGTATCCAAGTGGCTAAAGTCCCCGCCTTGAACACGCTGGGATTCCATATGGGCGCCAGTTCTAATCCTGGCAGCTCCATCCAGTTCCCTGCTTGTGGCCTGAGAAAGCAGTCGAGGACAGCCCACATGGGAGACCCAGAAGAGGCTCTTGGCTCCCATCTTCGGATTGGTGCAGCACCTACTGTTACGGCCACTTGGGGAATGAATCATCAGAAGGAAGATCTTCCTCTCTGTCTCTCCTCCTCTCTGTATATCTGACTTTGCAATAAAAGTAAATCAATCTTCTAAAACAAAAACTAAAAAAAAAAAAAAAAAAAAAGAATAAGAGAGAGAGAGCAGGGCCAGAAAAGAATATTTCCTTCATCTTCCCCTGCCCACACAGTCCCAAGAGCTGGGCCCCAGGGTAGCTCCTACACCCAGGCTGGATTCCATGGATGACAGAATGACAGAGGCCGTGGGAGGTGGGCTTCTCCAAGGTCGTGTGAGTTTGGGAAATGTGAAGTTAAACCAGACCTCCAAGCCTCCCTCAGAAGACAGGGGTTTCCGGAGCTTCTGCACATGTGGGGCACACGTGGGGCGTGGGCTCTCTCTCTGCTTCCCGTGTCACTCTTGCACCCCCCACTCTCCCACCCTCTGGTTGCTGCTGAGTCAGACATGGCAGGAACAATGACTGTGAGCGCTGGGGAGCTCCCTGCAGAGAAACAGGGTGCCGTGGTGGGGCTCAGCACCCCAACCCCTGGGAACTAGAACATATATCACCACCTTGGGCCCCCTCCTATAAGAAAATGAGTGACCTCAGCTCTCCACCTGCCCTTAACCCCCAATTTCTATGTTATGGGGGCCTTTGTTTGACCAAGAATTTTCGCAGCCACTTCCCGGAAGGGTTTTCAACCACATAGGGTGAGATTCTCTGTTCTCGCTTCTCTTTTTGCACCATGGACCAGTATCTGTGATGTTCTCCTCATCGGGGTTGTAGTGAAGCATGGCCAGGCCAGCTAGAATGTCCCAGCCCCACCCTGGGTGTCCACTTAGTGCCTCCTTATTTGAGGGATTTCATATATACAGCTCAGGCCAGGGTGGAGAGCAGGGATGAGGGTGGAAAGAGTCCAGTGCCAAGTCCACAGCTGCCAGCCTGCCCAGGCCAGGTCAAGGGTGAGCACTCCGGGGAAGCAGCCGCCCCTCACGCTGTCACATAGCACATTCGGGGCGTACACTGCTGCCTGCTTTGTTCATGAGAGCCTCTGTGTCAGAGGGTCACAACCAAGGGTGATTGCTGAGCCTAACAGTCACTTCGCCGTGGTGCTTGGAGACACTTAGGCTGTCCTAATGGGGAGGTCACATGCGTCAAGACCAGGAGCCACTGGGTGTCCTGCTGTGCACTGGACAGCCCAGAGTGCCCACGGTATCGAAGTGAAGGAAGCCCGTCCTGCAGAAGGGGACAGGGGGCTCCCTGGTTGCTCAACTTGACTGTGGGTCCCTATTCTCTACCTCTTCTCCATTGATCACTCAGAATACTGCCCCTGAGGCCTGCCACATCTCAGGTCATTGACCGTGAGGGAGAACTATGCTTTCCCTGACCCCGTGAACCTCTGTGCCTGACCCAAGTGATCTTGACTGTCCCACATTGTGTGTGTGTGTGTGTGTGTGTGTGTGTGTGTGGTCTTGTCTCCACAGAACCTGAGAGCCAGAAGCAACAAGGATGCCAAGGACACAACCACCAAGAACTCTCTTGAAAGTGAGTCCTCTGTGCCAAGCTCGGCTCCTCTACATGCCCAGGCTGCTGACCACCAGCTGGCCACAGAGAGGGACGGCTCAGGTGCCATGTCCCAGTTGGATGATGTCATACTGCCTACAGCGTCCTCCAGCTCCCATACTGCAAACAGTGGGAGCAGGCACCGGGAAGGGGAGTCCGTGGGTGAGATGGGGTGGAGAAGGATGTGGTTGGGTCCAGCTGGCTAGCAGCCATGCCGCCAGGATGAATGTTAGGAGTTAGTGAGCGCTCATAGCACAAAGTGTCACTGTGTTGACCCCTAGTCCTGCGGCCCCAGTATGGGGGAATGTCATCTTAGCCTGACAACAGAAGGGGTGTAGGAAGTTAAGTAACCCACTGGGGGTGCAGGGGTCTGACCTTAACTGTGGCGCTCTGCTGAGGAAGTGACATGGGGAGTAAAGAGTTGCTTCTAACTCTTGGCTGGTTTCAGCTGGCGTGCAGGTAGCCATGCTCACTCATAACAGGCCCCCAGAGCTTCCCCATGCTGGTGCCAGGCCTCTATTTTTGCCATCTACCCAGACCCCATGATACTTGTCACAGGAGTCCCCCACCATCACACATGCAGTCGAGGCCAGTTGGGGTGCCCATGTCCACCCGGGGGGGTGGATCCTGGGCCATTGGAGTTTGATCCCCTATCCCAGGCTACCTTAGGCCGAGAGCTAAGCCTGCACTTGAGTTAGCACCTGCCCTTCTCAAAGTCAGGCCTCCAAATCAATAGCCCAAGGGCTGACCTCAAGTGCAGTCTTGTAGGTCTACTCTCCTGGGGCACCAGCCAGACTAGAGAGCAAGGTTTGGTGGTGGTGTGTGTTTGCGGTGTGGGGAGTGGAGGGGTCCTTAGTCCTTATGAGTAGTGCTGGCAGGCTGCTCCGCCCCAGGCAGGAGTTGTATCAACATACTCTGCCTTCTTAGCAATGACCATTAAGTTTGCGGGGTCAGCTCCAAGTGCCACTGCAGTCCCAGGCTCCATTAAAACTCTAGTTGTTCCCCACAGGGCCTGTAGCCATTGCATGGCGAGTGGGACTGGGGAGCTGTGGGGCTGGCAAGGCTGTTGCCACCCCCTTACTCTTGTAGCAGGTCAGGGGAGTGGGCAGAGCTGGTGGTGGGCCGTGTCTGAGCGTGGTCGCCTCTCACCCCTGCCTGTCTCCCCGTAGCCCTGCTCTACAAGCCTGTGGACCGGGTGACGAGAAGCACGCTGGTTCTTCATGTGAGTCCCAGGGCCCTCTGTGCTGCAGCACCCATACCCTGCCAAGGCATCTGGGTGCTCTCCCCTGTCCCCACACCTTGCCCTGCCGTGGCTCTGGCTCCGACATTCATCTCCCCAACCCATCCATTCTTCTCTGCCTTGCACCTTTAATGAGGATGTAGAAGTGAGGTGTCTCTACTTTCTGGGGTGCAAAGGGGACACAAGCAGCTCTCCAGGGGGTCCCAGGTGTTTCTCCTTCCCGAGGCAGGTGCAGGTAGAGCTGGGAACTAGGGAGGACGCATCCTGTCCCACACAGGCAGGGGGCTCACACAGGGAAGCTGCACAGTGGTCAGAGCCCACGAGCCAAGTGGTAGGGCACAGCTTAGGTCACTGCCTTGCAGCCTGAGAAGGAGGGTACAGCTGGGGGACACCGCCCACCTCTGTGTGGAATTGCCGAAGGGCATCTTTAATATTTCGTTAATTTATTTGAAAGGCAGAATTGCAGATTGAGAGAGAATCTTTTATCTACTTGGTTCACTCTCCAAAAGGCCACAATGGCTAGGGCTGAAGACAGGAGCCAGGAGCTTCTTCTGGATCTTCCATGTGGGTGCAGGGGCCCAAGGACTTAGGTCATCTTCCCTTGCTTTCCCAGGTGCATTAGCAGGGAGTTTAATGGGAAGTGGAGCAGCTGGGACTTAAACCGGTGCCCATGTGGGCTGTTGGCACTGCAAGCTTAGTGTGCTATTCTATGGTGCTAACCCTGAAGGGGTGCCTTTGGAACTTTAAAGTATGAGTTTATTTGTGCATGGGATTTTTTTGTCATAAGTTTTGGAAAATGAGGGTCAATGCTATGATGTAAGCCACGCTTCTGCCTACAACAGGCATCCCATATAGACACCATGTTGAGTCCCGACTCCTCGTCTGCTAATCCAGCTCCCTGCTTACAGCATGGGCAAGCAGCAGAGAATGGCCCACGTCCTTGGGACCCTACACCCACATGACAAACCTGGAAGAAGCTCTGGGCTTTGGATCAACCCAGCTTTAGGCATTGCAGCCATTAGGAAATGAACCAGCAGATGGAAGATCTCTAACTCTGCACATTTTTTTAAAGTAAATAAATATTTTTAAAATTATGTATATTTGGGAAAAAAAGAAAGAATATGTATATTTGAATATTATTTTGGCACAAAACTTTATTTATTGGAAAAGCAGCGCAATGTAGAGTGAGATCTTCCGTCCACTAGTTCACTTCCCAGATAACCATAGCAGCCAGGAGCCTAGACCTCCATCCAGGTCTCGCACATGGGCGGCAGGGGCCTAAGCCAGTGTATTTCTAGGGAGTTGGGTGGAAAGTGAATCAGCTGGGACTTGAACTGGTGCCCTATGGGGTGCTGGCACTGCAGACTGTGGCTTTACTCGTTCTCCCATGGCATCCAAGGAGGGACCTTTACACCTCTGCTGGCCCTTCTCTCCCACCCAGGTTCCCCATATAGAGGTGGTTCCACCTGGGCCCTCGGGGAACCCCACCTCCTCCTCTTCCTTCATGCCCTGTGGCAGGGTGTGAGTGGATCTGATGGAGTCTCCTTTATGGCTAGAGGGGAGAAGAGAAATGAGATTTATTAGGTCAGCTTGTCAGCCCAAGCCTCCTACATGGCGTGGGGGTCAGAAGCCGGGCGGGATGCTGCCCAGCCCATTCAGCATTATTCCCAATATGCCTTCCTCACTGCTTTGGCCCAGTTTCTGTTTGCAGAGGTGATGTGGGCTCTGCAGGGGATGGGGCAGATAGGAGCTATGGTAGTAGAGGGGGATGATTTCTGAACAGCCTAAGTGGGGTGCTGCTGGATCCAGCGGGTGGAGGCGAGGCAAGCTGGTAAAGGCTCTGGTGATGTCTGGGAAGGCCTTCCCCAGCAGAGTCAGCCAGCCCCAGTTGGGGTGGGTGCAGGGGTGCCTCACAGCATCCTTTGGGGCCTACCTCCTGGATGCTGCTCACATAGGCCGTGACAGCAGAGCCCAGCCCCTTTCCTAGTCCCCCATCCCTGGAACCTGGGACCCCAGAAGCAGCAGCCATGCCTTTGGGGAGAACTGGCGGGCTCCTGGAGATGTCCAGTGTGGGCATGTGGGTCACAAACCCCTGTCCTCCCACCGCGTCCCTCCGCCATGGTGGAGGCCTAATGGGACTCTCCCGGCAGGACTTGCTGAAGCACACGCCGCCCAGCCACCCCGACCACCCCCTGCTGCAGGACGCCCTCCGCATCTCACAGAACTTCCTGTCCAGCATCAACGAGGAGATCACGCCCCGTCGGCAGTCCATGACCGTGAAGAAAGGCGAGGTGAGTTCTCCACCCCCAAGGGGGAGGAGAGCCAGGCTTGGGGGGAGCATGCAAGGACACAGGTCACCTGAACCCTTAGTGGACACCCAGCCCCTGGGCCCAGGAAACTCATGGCCTTGAGGGTCTGTGACTGCCTGGGTTTGTGGTTTTCTATTGCCAACAACACAGCGTTCCCCCCCGCCCCCCCAAGAAGATACAGGAAGGGGAGAGGTTTGTTTCGGCTCTGGCTCAAGGTCAGTGGCACTGCCCGTCTGGTGTACTGGGTGGTAGTCGCCACCTGGGCTGCCCAGGGCATCTCCCGGCGAGAGGAAACAAGCGTTTCTATGCTCTGCGATCTTTGCTCCCCACAAAACCACTCGGACTTAATCTCTAGGGGCTAGGAGGTTCATCTGATCACCATGCAGAAACCCCACCTCCAACACCAAGGTCACCTCCTGGAGCCCCTCGGGCTGTCAGGAGTAAGCTGCAGTGGGTGAGCAGGCGCTTGGGGGGCGTTCAGGCCGCTGCAAGGACCCCTGGCGGGACCAGCCCCTGCTACACACTTGGCCGCGTTGAAGGTGAATACGTAGAGCCCTGTCACTGTTCCTGCTTCATTCATTTCTGGTCCCATCAAAATCCGTAATTTTTTTTTTTCCTCCAACTAAAGAGATCCCAGTTTGTCTCACCTGGAATCCACTTTCTTGTTCTTTAATGAACACCGGCTTTAAGGATTTGCAAAGGGGAAGATGGGGAGGGGTCTGTCATTTGTGTTACACCTCAGCCTGGAAGCTTCCTGTCCCTGCCCCCTCCCCCACTTCCCCACAACCTCTCTCATGCTCATGTCCTTGTTGCACATGAATTGTCGGCATCCTGGACAGCTACCAGCCACCGACTTGCCACTGAGAGGGTCTCGGTTAGCCCTGCCACCCTGTCATTCCAAGCCTCGCATGGTGGCTGGTGCGGGCTAAGCCAGGAAGGCCGATCAGTTCTATCCTCAGGCGCTGCTCCTCCTGCCATGGCTGGTCCAGGGGCAGACATGACTCACCAATTAGGAACCCTCTGCACCACCAGGCTGTGCTCTGCTAGAACTGGCAGAGCTTTGGAAATACCTGTAGTGTGTTCTTCCCCCACACCCCCGCAACTGTTTTTCTGTTTGAGACATGACACCAAATGTCAGGTTCCTGAAGGAACCCGTGCTGGGGTCTCTTGATGACGACATAGGGTCAGCTCAGGGTCGAGTGGGGAAGCCAGGTATCTGTCGCAGTGCCCCACAGGCGTGTTCTGCTCTGATTCCCTTCCCTGACGCTGACTGACAGGGCTTATCCAGCCCTGTTCCTCTGCATCCCCTGGGGGGGGAGTGGTTGGCGAGGATGAGCTGGGGGTCTCTGAGAGCAAGGTAGGGGAGCTCCATTTTGTAGCATCCCCTAAGAAAAATGCCTCTGTCCACCTGGGGTGTGTTGCAGGCATGGGCTGGGTGCCCCAGCTGTTCCTTCAGTAAGTCAGGGCACTATAGAGGCCAGCAGTCACCCTGTGTCACGTGCTGTGGCTCCCGTGGTCTCGGAGTTGCGGGGGTACCACGGGGAGTGCTGCCCTGAGGAAGATGCCCACCTTGGCCCCACCAGAATCCTCCACACACACCCAGACATCCTGCAGGCATGTTGTGTCGCCAGGCCAGGGTCCTGTGGGGCTGGTGTGTGTGTGCCTTTGTTCAGCAGAATTCGCTCCCCAGTGAGCATACCCCAGTGCTGGATTGTTAATTCTCCCCACACACCCCATTGCTGCCTGGCTGCTGCCTGTCTGCTTCTCCAAGTCCCGCGCCGCATGCCGCTCAGACTCGGAAGTGTGTAGGCTGGTTGGGAGTGGTAGTTTTGTTTCCAACTAAGCCCTGGCTCTCAAGCCTGTGTGTGCCTGGAGCTGCCCTCCTCCCTTTCCGGAGCCTGTGGTGTGGTGGAAGAGGGAGGGACGCTGGCAGCCAGGCGGGTCCGGGGAGTTGGCAGCAGAGCAGGCTGAGCCGAGAGGTGGGGAGGCCCTGGCGGAAGAGAATCAAGTGCCTCAGAGAAGGGTGGTGGTCAGCTCCAGGGTGAAAGCCAAGGAGACGTGGGGTCCCAGCCCCTCCAGAACTGGAGTAGCAGCCTCCAGGAGTGGGTCCCAGACACATGATTGATGTCCACTTGTATTTATTGATTTGGGAGAAGACGAGAGAGCGCCCCTTCTGCTGTCCCCTTCTGCTGGTTGGCACCCCGCATGCTCATGATGGCCAGCAGAGACAAGCTGGAGGTTGGGCGCGCACCCCAATTCTCCCGCAAGGGTGACAGGACCTCGATCATTGGGGTTCTTGTCTGCTGCCCCCCAGGGCCTACATCAGCAGGAAGCCGGAGTCAGGTGCCAGGACTCTGGTGGTGCAGGTGTCCTAACCAGCAGTTGAAAGACCAGTTACGGAGAGGGAGGGATCTTCCATTTGCTGATTCACTCCCCAAAATGTTCACAATGGCCAGGCCAAAGCTGGAAGCCACAAGCTTTATCGGGTCTCCTACATGGATGCAGGGGGCTTGGGCCATCTTCTGCCGCTTTCCCCAGGAGCGTTATCAGGGAGCTGAATGGCAAGTGGAGCAGCCAGGCCTCAGTCCAGCCCATATGGGATGCTGACATCATAGGAAGGGGCCTAAGCTTGATTCCCCTAGTCAGCATTTAGAAACACTAACCCACATGCCCACCCCGTACCCACAGGTTTTGTTTTTGTAAGATTTATTTGTTTTTCTACCTATTTATTTAAAAGGCAAGGAGAGGTAGGGGAATCTTCCATCTCCTGGTTTGCTTCCCAAATGCCTGCAATGGCCAGGACTGGGCCGAGCCAGAGCCAGGAAGCAGGAATGTCATCTAAGTCTCCCACATGGGTAACAGGCCCTCCAATATTTGGACCATCAACCTCTGACTCCCAGATGTGTTAGCAGGGACTCCCAGATGTGTTAGCTGTGTAAACCAGCTCAGAAGCAGAGGAACCCAGGCTCAATACAGAATGCAGTCAGGTATGCCAAGCGACGGCTTAACCCACTGTGCCACAGTGCCCATCATGTCTGCAGTTTCAAAAGCAGGAGACTTGGAGTGCTTAGCTCCACCTTGAGAACCCCGTAGGAGCTGAAGGAAGCCCCAGTGGACACTGTGAACCAGAAAGCTGAAGAGCTACAGGCACAAGGTCCACGCTCCCTGTCAGGGCCAGCCTGGGCCTTCTCCTGGCCTTCATTAATATTTACAAATATGCTCAGCACCTTGGCATTGCAAGCTAAGCCTCAGCCTGGGACAGCAGCATCCCATATGGTTTAAGTACTGGCTACGCCACTTCCCATCCGGCTCCCTGCTTGTAGCCTGGGAAAGCAGTAGAGGATCCTGCACCCACATGGGAGACCTGGAATAAGCTCCTGGCTCCTGGCTTTGGACTGGCCCAGCTCCGGCTCTTGCAGCTAGTTGGAGAGTGAACCAGCAGATGGAAGATTTTTCTATCTCTCCTTTTCTGTCTGTAACTCTGCCTTTTATGTATACACATAAATTAAAACAAAGCGATATTTGTAAGTGATCACTTACAAAGAGATATTTGTAAGTTAAATCTTGGCGTCTCTGCTTCCCTGGACCCTGGAATGAGAACCCAGGAAAGGGGTCCCGTATCTCGCCTCTTCCCAGCCTTCCCTTCTCTGTGCAGGAACAGAGCTGGACCCTGCTGACCTAGCTTAGGCTCAGGGAGTGACACAAGGCTGGACCATGCTGTCCTCCCACAGGGCCTGGCACCCTGCAAAGTGCTCAGTAAACCCTAAGGGCTGGACTGGCGGCCATTCTCACTATTGCTGTATATCAGCAGGCCGTTTCCCAGGTCCCACCCACCCTCCGCCCGGCTGGTTTCCTGTCCCTCCTGGGCCTGGAATTAGCCTCAAGAGGCCTTTTTTTCTGGGGACCAGAAAGTGAAGGCTTGCAGGCGCCAGAGAACAGGTCGAGCCTCCTGCTCAGTTGCTGGTGTGCAGAGTGGCCCAGCACTATTGCTCAGACCCCAACCACCTGCCAGATCTCTGCAGCCTACCTACCCAGGCCACCTGCCCACGGCTCCCCTGGGCTGCAGGCTTTGCTCTGGGACCCACAAGGGGAGCTGGGGTTGCTGTGCCAAACTTGGCCCCATGATTAGAGCCAGGAGTTTGGCCCCTCTTCCTTCCTCTTATCCCCTGCCTAGGCCATTGCCTGTGACTTTTCCAGGTCCTAATCAGTAAGACCCTGCTGACCGGTTTAACATGGAAATCTGGGAGCAGGTGTCTGGGCTGGCACTTGGCCTCCGGCCGAGACACCTGCATCCCGCATGGAGAGTCCCTGGATTCTATTCTGCTCTTGGCTCCACTCCTGTTAACACACACCCCGGGAGGCAGCTATGATGACCTCACATGGGAGACCCGGATGCAGTGGTGTGCCAGCTCCCAGCTTCCACGCTGGGCCAGCACTCCCTCCCCGAGCCCCACTGGGCATTTAGAGAATGAACTAAAGACATGGCAATTCTTTGTCTCTCTCTGTCTCTCAGCCTTTCCCCTCCTTCACCCGCCACCCCCCAAAAAAATCCAGCTCCCATGTCCCAGATTTCCCCTTGTGGACCCGTGGTTTGGTTTAGCTTGACTGTGAGGCCAGGGACCCTCCCTAGAGTGGCTTCAGCGAGAGACAGATAGACAAAAATCGCATCTCCTGGTCCTGGAGCCGGGAACCCCCCCAGGCTCAGAGTACCCAGCGGTCAGGCTCTGGTGCAAGCCCTCCCTGCCCTATCACCATGACCTTCAGCAAGGCTTGCTTTTGTCAGACCTGAGGGAGAGCAAAAGCTTGCACCCTCACCGCTTCCGGGGACACCCGTGGCATCACAGACACCTCTGATCAACCATCCCTGAAGACCCCACCTCTGGAAAGCTTTGCTCTGATTGGGGCGGGGCTTCAGTGAATGTGTTTTGCAAGGAGGAGGCAGGTGTGCAAGCCTGCAGCCTGTAGCATGCCCTTCTTCCCAGGCTGGCCTTTCTGGGAGTACCTGTGGATGAGCTGCTGCTGGGATGATACCTGGGCTGGCGACAGGTGCAGGAGGCAGCCAGCCTGGGGAAGGAGGGACCCCCCCCACCACCCCCACTGGACTTCCACAGCCTACTAAGGCCAAGGCTGAGCCCAGTGCAATAGCCTAGTCCTCACCTTGCACGTGCTGGGATCCCATATGGGTACCGGTTTGTGTCCTGGCGGCCCTGCTTCCCATCCAGCTCCCTGCTTGTGGCCTGGGAAAACAATCAAGGATGACCCAAAACCTTGGGACCCTGCACCCACATGGGAGACCCAGAAGAGGCTCTGGGCTCCTGGCTTCAGATCGTCATGGCTCCGGCCATTGTGGTCACTTGGGGAGTGAATCAGCAGATGGAAGATCTTCCTCTCTGTCTCTCCTCTTCTCTTTATATCTGACTTTCCAATTGAAAAATTTTAAAAAAGTATTAAAATCTTAAAAAACAAAAAAAAGGCCAAGGCTGCCCCCTCCTCCTCAGGAGACCTCACTGAGCCTCAGACTTCTTGTCAGTAGAGGGGGGCATGACCATCCCTTGCCGGAAAGATGGGAGACTCAGAATGTGGCCACCCGCATTCAGCCAGGTGACCACTGGCCCCTGCTCTGAAGCCCTTTAACATGCCGTTTCATTTCATCCTCGTACAAATGCTACCAGACGGGCCTTTGTCATTTTTCAAAAATAAAATTTGTTTCTTTTTTTATTTAGAAGGCAGTTACACAGATATCTTCCCATCTACCTGGTCACTCCCCAAGTGACCACAACAGCCAGGACCGGGCCAAGGCCAAAGCCAGGTGCCTGGAACTTCATGTGGGTCTCCCACTTCGGGTGCAGGAGCCCAAGCACTTGGGTCATCTTCCACTGCTTTCCCAGGTGTGTTAGCAGAGAGCTAGATTAGAAGTGGAACTGCTGGGCCCGGCGCGGTGGCACAGTGGTTAAGGTCCTCGCCTTACACACCCGGGATCCCATATGGGCGCCGGTTCTATCCCGGCAGCCCCTCTTCCTATCCAGCTCCCTGCCTGTGGCCTGGGAGAGCAGTCAAGGACAGCCCAAGGCTTTGGGACCCTGCACCCACGTGGGAGACCCGGAAGAGGCTCCTGGCTTCAGATCAGCATAGTATCGGCCGTTGCGGTCACTTGGGGAGTGAATCATCGGACGGAAGATCTTCCTCTCTGTCTCTCCTCTCTGTATATCCGCCTTTCCAATGAAAAAATAATAAAAATAAATCTTAAAAAAAAAAGTGGAACTGCTGGGACTCGAACCAGTGCTCATATGGGATGCTGGTGGCTTAACATGCTATGCCACACCCTTGCCCCTCCAACCAGCCCCAGCTTGTATTTGAGGAAGCTGACATCATCGTTGCCATGCAGTTAGGCTGAAGGTGGGGTCCAGGGCCAAGCAGCACTGGCCCCCCTGAGGGCCTTCCTGCTGGGGGTTGTATCTTCTGGAAGTGATGATAGACGTTCAGCACTGCTGCTTGTTCCCAGGCAGTGCTGTGCCTTGCTGGGGCATCCCCAACCTGAGACATGGGGGAGTTTACACAGGGAGTGTGCAGTGGCTCTCCAGGCACCGTGGTTGGAGCCAGGGCCCTGCCCATGAGAGCCAGGACCCACTTGCCGGTGAGGTCAACAGGGAGATGTGCCTTCCCCTGGGGTCACGGAGACAAGACACACAGTGCCAAGGGGATGCCCACATCCACCTGCAGGGAGAGACGGGATACACACACACACACACACCACCACGCTTGCAGTCCCCACAGTAGGCCTTGGTTCAGCCGCTGTTCTTAGCCTCCGGGCTTGGTGCCGCCTCTCCCCACCCCCATTCCTAGGCTTCCAGAAAGCTCTTCTGCCTCTTGCATATCCGTTTTGGATGTTGGCTTTGGGGGAGTCATGGAATCACAGGACAGCCTTTTGCAACCTCATCATCCTGGGACACCATGGGGGTGGGGCCTACGTAGCCCAGCCCTACCCCAGGTGGGCTGGGAAGTCCCCCCTTTCCATCCTCAAAGGACCCTCAGAATCTGTCAGAGCAAGGTCGAAATGTCACAGGGGCAGTGGGGCTCACAGGGAAGCCTGGAGGCACCCGTTGGTCAGGGGCACCCGTTGGTCAGGGGCACCCGTTGGTCATGGAGTGGATGGGAATGAATGGGACTGCCATCGTGTCTCTCCAGAGAACAGCCCAGAGCCAGGCTTAGCCTGCAGTTGCTGCCACCCAGGGGACTCTGTGTCCTCGACAGGGTGGACTCTGTGTCCCACAACGTGCCAGGAAGACGTGCCTGTGGGGCAGGCACTGGCGGCCAAGGCACATGGCTGAGCCGGTTGCAGCCTGCCCTCTGCTGGTGGCAGCGGGGAATGCAACGCCTCTGCCGGGAGCCATCTATGGCCTCTGGCGCTCACCACTGTGCGGCCAGATGTAGCAGGTGCATGCGCTGCCTTGCTGCTTCCCCTGGGCTGAGCGACAAGCCGGAGCCTCCATCCCGTTTGCGGGCTCACAGTTCCCACACAAATCATCCTCAGCTCCTCTCTCTGGGACCCCCTCTTGATCTAAGCCCTGTGTGAAAGGCAGGTGACGTAGCCTCCATCTGTAGACATGTCAGACACACAGCACAGCCTGTGCTTGCTTCTGTTGCCCTGCCCTCCCCACCCCACAGCCCGGCCCCTGCAGGGAGACTAGGGCTGCCCAGCCATGGTGTGATGACACGAGATGAGTGCGTCCCCTGCTGGAAGACTCTGGTGTTGCACTCCTGTTGTGTGTGCCCTGTCCCTAGCACCCACCACCCTTCCCAGCCTATACTGAGCGGACAGCAGAGGCCACCCTGTGGCAGAGGGGGAGGGGGTCTGGAGGGGGAGAGAGATCCGTGAGGATAGGTGAGCTTCCCTGGGCAGTACCTGGGAACACGCGGGTGTGTGAGTGTGTATATGTGTGTGACGTCTCTGAGGTCCAGTTACTGCATCTGTGAAATGGGGAGCAAACAGACCTGCCCACAGGAGGTCTAAGGTCGCAGGCACCATGCTTGCATGGACCGGAGGAGCTACCGGGCCACTGCTGGGTAGTCGGAGGAATTCCCGGCATGCCCCAGCTCTAGGGGACCCCCAGTTTTCCCCTCGCCCTGCCCTTGCTGTGACCTTGAGGACTGCCCCTTAGACTGCCTCTGTAACTCCCTGATCTGCACTGCCCACACTGCGCTGTCTGACGGTCCCTGCCCTCCGAGGACAGCCCCCTCCCCGACGACCTTGGCTTCTGACCACTTCGGGTCTTTGTTTGCTACCCTGGAGAAGCAGACCTTGCCTGCCCTGTTTCAGAAGAGTTCTTCCATCACACAGTCGTGCACCCCACCCCCCAGACTCCAAGGTCCAACATACCCCCTCCCTGTGCTCGCCCATCAAATCACTCCACCTTTTCCACGGACCAGAAATACCCGAGACACGAGAGGTTGTGCTGAAGCTACCCTCTGTCAGTGCATTGACCAGCTGGACGGAGGGCTCTGCCGTGCGTGTGCAGTGTGGAGGTCGGGGGTAGCCCAGACGGTCTGTCTGCTCTGCTGGACTGGGAAGGCCCTGCCTGAGCCCGTCTCGCCTGTGTCCGCAGAACCGGCAGCTGCTGAAGGACAGTTTCATGGTGGAGCTGGTGGAGGGGGCCCGCAAGCTGCGCCACGTCTTTCTGTTCACCGACCTGCTGCTGTGCACCAAGCTCAAGAAGCAGAGTGGGGGGTGAGTGACAGCCAGCAGGGGAGGGCAGGGGAACTTGCTCTTCCGTGCCGGCTGGAGAGGATGTTGGGCTCAAGGTTGGCTAGTAACAGTCCACAGCAGGATTGATGATCTGGGGCAGCAGCGAGGGGATCGGACCTTGGTGGGAAGGACCTGTCCCCTGGGGAAGAGTGAGTGACAGGCCAGGGGGCTGCAGGGACTGACACAAGGCTGGCCCTTCCCTGCCGTGGTAGACATCCCTGGGTGATCGCTGTGCTGTCTCCCCATTCTATCCTGGCACGCAGGTGACCCCTGCGCTTGTCTCGCCAAGCCTAGGGATGGATTCTCGTATGGCCTCAGGGGAAAGGGGGTGAGGTGTACCCAGGTCCGAGTGGAGCGGGCCAGAGCTGGGTCCTTCCTCCCTAGTTCTGAGATTGCCCAGCTGAACCAGTTTAACCAGTCAGCTCAGAGGGCCTTTGTTCCCCCATGTGTTAAGCCAGGGAATTATGAGAGGGGAGAATTCAGAGGGATTATGGGAAATGAAATTAAAATGCAAGCTTACTTGGGTGCATAACTTTTTTGAAACACGCACATGTTTCTTTCATCAACAAAATTCACAGGAAATACGTATCATGAAAGACCAGTGCACGGATTCCAGTTTGCCCTCTGTCTTGAATTCCAAGTTCCATGAACTTATAGAAGTACCACTGTCCCTGGGCAGATCGTAGCCCCTTCTGACTCTGTAGCTCCGGGGGCAGCATTGGTCCTGTCCCCTCATGGAACAGCCTCATGCTGCCTTGGAAGCTACTAAGAAAGGGTCAGCCCAGAAGGTGGACTAGGGTCCCCTTGAATGTCCAAGGGTCCTGGGGGGAGGGGCAGAGTGTCTATTCCCAGGAATTGTTGGAGCTTGGGGGGGCTGCGGTGTCTGTGTGCGGCCTCCCCTCAGCCCCCGTTGCACGGGATCTACGCTATGTGCATCTGAGGGCAGGTGCACCGCCTCGAACCCAAAGGAAGACAGTCCACGTCATAACCTCCTCTCCTTTCCCCTGGCCAGCAAAACCCAGCAGTACGACTGCAAATGGTACATTCCGCTCACCGACCTCAGCTTCCAGATGGTGGACGAGTCGGAGGCCACCCCCAACATCCCCCTGGTGCCCGATGAGGAGCTGGACGCCCTGAAGGTCAAGATCTCCCAGCTCAAAAGCGACATCCAGAGAGAGAAGGTGAGGGGGGTGCTCCCCCATGAACCTCTACCCCTCTGCACCCACCTTCCCTTGCTCTCCCCCATCCCACAGACCCCTGTGAGTGCTGGTGTCTAGTCACTGCCAGGCACCAGGTGGTTTGGGGTCCCCCAGCTGAATGGTGGTTCCAGTGTCACAGCAGAGTGACAGAGGCCTACGTGCAGGTCTCTGGACAGCTTCCCATACCTGCTGCAGACAGCTTCGGGCCTAGCTCCTCTGCCCAGGACGAGAGCTCTTTCACCCGGGAAGTGCGTAGATCCTGATACCAACCCTGAGGTTCCCGTCTTGCTCCTGGGCATCCGCTGTCTGCTGTTCACCCATCCATGCGTGGCTCCAGTGCTGGGAGCCCCAAGCTCATGTTCTCCGGGGTCCCCAGGAAAACCCTGGCTGGGGAAGTCACCTGGTTCTTACTCTGGACAGAGGGTACAAATTGGATATGCCACCATAGGGAACCAAATTCAAAGAGTGCAGATCCCAGACAAGGCAGGGCAGGCCTCCGTTCCCGGCTCAGCAGCTGGTGGTCCCGTACCCTGCACAGGAAGAAATCTGCATGTACGTTCTTTGGGAAACAGAGAAACACTGATAGGCAGACAGAACCTGGAACCCCATAAGATTTGCGAAAATCTTGACTTAGGAATTTCATTTTTGGGGACCAGCATGATGGCAAACAGAGCTGTTACCTGCAATATCAGTGTCCTGTATGGGTGCCAGTTGGAGTCCCAGCTGTTCCACTTCTGACTCAGCTCCCTGCTAACGCACCTGGGAAAGCAGCAAGTGATGGCCCGAGTCTTTGGACCCCTGCCCACCCACATGGGAGACCTGGAGGGAATTCCAGGCTCCAGACAGGGGCAGGGTCCCAAGGCTTTGAACCATCCTCTGCTGCTTTTCCAGGCCACAAGCAGGGAGCTGGGTGGGAAGTGGAGCAGCCGGGAGACGAACCCATATGGAATACTGGCGCATACTAGACAAGGACTTTAGCCACTAGATTACTGTGCCCAGCCCTATCACAAATCTTAAAAAAAAAAAAAAAGACTGTGCTGGGTGAAGGAATGGGCAGAGAGCTGGTTAAGTTCGTGGGCAGAGGGACCACATTGTGGTGCTACAGGTTAATCTTCCACCTGTAATGCCAGCTTCGGTGCCAGTTCAAGTACCGGCTACTCTGCTTCTGATGCAGCTCCACGTTAATGTGCCAGGAAAGCAGTGGAAGATGCCCCTGCACTCGCACGGAAAACCCAGATAGAATTCCGGTTTCCTGGTTTTGGCGTGGCCCAGCCCAGGCCATCGTGGCCATTTGAGAAGTGAATGAGCGGATGGAAATAGATAAATTGAAGGTTGTTTTTTTAAAAAAAAAAAGTTTGTAGGCACTTCTAACACCCAGGCAGGAGCCTGTGTAGTATCGTGTCCACTCCACAGCCACTGTGCTACACCATGAGCAAGAGGGTACAACCAGCCATGGGGTCCTTGGAACAGTCCGGGACATGCACCTGGGGTGGAGGGGGTGCCCAGCTAGCCCCACCCCCTGCCACCTTACAACTGCTTTGATGGGGGTGGAGTGGCATCAGTTCCAGGCGGGGAGTGCAGCTCTGGCAGGTACAGTGCGGGAGAGTGGGGTGGGGGGTCCCTGGGGAGGCTGGACCGTGGTGCAGACACAGATGGTTGCTATGGACACATGCAGGATGGAGCTTCCTTTCCAGCTCTCCCCGTAACGCCCAGCCTGCAGCAGTGCAAACTGGAAACAGATGGGGGAGAGGCAGGGGCTCACTCAGGTAGGCGTGGCCTGGGGCCAGGACAGGGGATCCAGTGCCAAATCCTCAAGGCTGGTGCCACTATGGCAATTATCCTTGCCATGCACTCCATCCAGTCCGTGGTCAGGAACAGGGGGCCCTCTCAAGGGACCACAACAAGGTCCCTCCATTTCTCTCCGGGGGAGTAGTGGCTTCAGGAGGGGAGGTGAGAGCCGTCTCGGTCTCACTGGCTCCTGGATGTAGTCCGAGCCCAGAGAAGTTGCACAGTGGTGGAAGACTTGACTCAGTTCCTTCCACAAAGACCCGTCGACACATCCCACTGTGCAGGGGTCACTTCTGTGCCCGATAGGCCACCGGCAGCGACTGGCCCAGGCCCCCCCGGACCAACAGAGTTCTCCAGGTCTCCAGGTCCTTCTCAGAGGCCGAGATAGGGGTGCCAGGGCTTAGCCAGGCGCGAGCAGGATGCCCAGGAGCCCAGGGCGGAAAGCTGAGCCTCGGCCTCTTCCCCGACCTCCCACAGAGGGCCAACAAGGGCAGCAAGGCCATGGAGCGGCTGAAGAAGAAGCTGTCTGAGCAGGAGTCGCTGCTGCTGCTCATGTCTCCCAGCATGGCCTTCAGGGTGCACAACCGCAACGGCAAGGTGAGCGCCGCCCCGGTCCTCCCGCCAGCTGCTTCCCACCAGCTCCCCCAATGGCTGAGACCTGCCCGGGGGCGGGGGGGGGGTGCTACCTTCCACTGGGGGCCCGCCTTCCACTGGGCACATTGCACCTGTGGTGCAGAGGGGGAGGCTTGTGTGCCCCTCTTGCCCTCTGTATGACATCTTATCTCCTGAGTCCTGCCCGCCCCCGACCCCTGCTCATATACAGTGCATGGTTCATTCTTCAGTATTTGACACCAGGTGGTTGGAGCTGGGCGGAGGTCACAGCGGGCCCTGCAGGAGGGGAGAGAGACAGAGATAGTTGCGGAGTGGCATCTCCCCCCCACCACAGAGCCCACCCTCACAAGCCCCCTGCACTCCCACTGGCAAGCCCTCTGAGTCCCTCACCTGCACGCTGTCTGCCCTGGGCATCAACCATCCCACCCTCCTCTCGAGCCCCAGCATGCTGCAGACAAACAGGGCTTATACCAGAAGCAGGTGTGTACAGAGCGCGGGCACTGTGGCCCCAGGCACAGCCCAGGCAGCCAGGGCGAAAAGGTCTGGAAGTGACAATCCCAGCTCAGGGCAGGTATGCTCTGGGCGGGCCAGGGAGCTCAGCTGACTGGCAGCTCAGTGCTGGAGGGGAAGGGGGAGCCAAGTGCTCCAAGGACTGGCAGGGCCCTGCCCGGGCAAGGCCAGGGGTGGAGATAACTGGGGCGTGTTCTCCGTTCCTCCCGCCCTAGAGCTACACATTCCTGATTTCCTCCGACTACGAGCGTGCTGAGTGGAGGGAGAACATTCGAGAACAGCAGAAGAAGTGTGAGTGGCTGGGCCGGGGTCCCTGGGCATCCCTGGGGTCCACAGGTGTCGGATGTGTGTCCTGCTCCCGTAGCTTTAAACCTGTCTGGGTTTTTTCCCTTTTGTTTTTCCTTCTTTTCTTATCCAAGTGAAATGTTACCTGGTATGCTAATGCAGCAAATAAGATGGTGATGGGTGTTGTAACAACCAAGCTACAAAAGACCCCCGAGGGTCTTGGGTTCAAGCCCCGACTCCAGCTTCCTGCAGGATGGGCTGCCAGGGACATAGACAGTGGCAGTCACTCAAGGAGCTAGGCTTCTTGCCCCACATTCATTCCCCGACAGGAGACCCTGGGTTGAGTTCCCAGCTCCCTGGCCTCAGGCCCAGCCCTACGAGCATCTGTAAAATGGGCCAACAGATAGGAGCTCTGTGTATCTCTCAGTTTCTGCCTCTCATACAAAAATGTTTTTAAAGTTTTATTTGCTTTTCGTTTGAAAGGCAGAGCTATAGAGAAAGAAGAGACAGAGATCTCTCTGCTGGTTCAGTCCCCAAAGTGGCTGCAACAAACCGGAGCTAGGCTGGGCTTGGTCTGGAGCCAGGAACTTCTTCTGAGTCTCCCACATGGGCGGCAGGGGACCAAGCTCTTGGACTGTCCTCTGCTGCTTTTTTCTCAGGCACATTAGCAGGGAGCTGAATCAAAAGTGGAGTAGCCAGGACTTGAACCAGCACGCATATGGGATGCTGCCAACATCACAGGCGGAGGCTTAACTTGCTATGCCACAGTGCTTAACTATCCTGGTTGGCTCCCAGACCTCGGTGTCCCCACCCCACCCCACCCTCCACCCACTGTGTCCCCTTTGCATTCACTTGCCCTCCCAGCTGCTTCCTGCCTGCTGCCCACCCAGGTCTTTCCCACACACCCCTCCCCCACATCCCATGTCCTCCCCAGACACCCCCCTTCCCCTTCCCTCTCCCCCCACACACCAGGTATGGGTGGCTGTGTGCAGGGCCAGCGGCCTCCTCTCTGCATCAACCCCTCCTTGTCTTATACCATCTTCACATCTCCTGAGCTCCCAGCGACACCCCTGCTGCCTCCTGGAAAAAGAGCTGAGGGATGCAGAGCCCACTCAGGCTGAGCCACCCTGTTCCCTCCCACCTCCTGAGCCAGACTGGGTGCTGGGGCCTCCTTCGAGTGGAGTCAGCCACATTCGGGATTTACCTGCTGCACACAGACCCTGCCTGGGCTAGTAGGGGGGGTCCCATGTGCCCCTGTCCTGGCCTGAGCTACGGCTTCCCCAACCCCCTGCCCTCCAGTCCCACCATTGCCTGGAGGTGATGCAAGGAGCTTCTGCCCATTGTAACACCGGGACTCAGCCTGTAGCTGGCGTGGCAGCAACCGTTGCTGGCTCAGTGTTGTTCCCAGAGGCAGAGCCCAGTGGCTTTAGCCAAGCATGGAGCCATTCCAATAGGGTCACATTTGGCCTAGGGAACCAACATATATATGTGTGTGTGTAAGGGTGCTGCTCTCACACTCTGGCTGGGTGTGTGTGTGTGCCCTGCCCTCATGTTCTGGGGTGTGTGTGTGTGTGTGTGTGTGTGTGTGTGTGTGTGTAGGTCCCGCCCTTACACTCTGGGCAGCCCACACTAACTCAGCACCTCCCAGGAGAGAGGCTGCAAGCTCCCCAGCACGCTCGAGGCAGGGGAGGGGCGATGCGGTAAGGAAGGAGCAGGAAGTGGGAAGGGCAGAGGGAGGCCGTGCAGCAGCCCGGGCGTGGGGATGGCAAAGGGCAGCAACGACCAATATCTTTCTCTCTCTGCTGCCCGCTCAGGCTTCAAAAGCTTCTCCCTGACGTCCGTGGAGCTGCAGATGCTCACCAACTCCTGCGTGAAGCTGCAGACGGTGCACAGCATCCCGCTGACCATCAACAAGGAAGGTGGGAGGACAGGGGCTGCCAGGCCCAGGCGCCGCGTCAGAGCCATCTTTGTGACCAGCCCGGGCCCCCTTCAGGAGAGCTAGATGTGCCCGTTAGGTGGTCCACGCCTGGCAGTCGTTTCCTCTCCCCTTGGCAGCTATGGCCTGGAGGTTTAGGAAGCAGATGCCGCTGCCCCTGGTCACAAGGCCCGGGACGAGGCTCTTGGTGATCAGACTCTCCGTGCCCACCGTGCCCCCCACCACACACACCTTTTCCCTGTCCCATCCCTCCCACCCCCCAATCTCTAGGCACCTTGCCTATCACACATGTGTTTGCCCAAGCATGTGCTCATACGTGTACTGCCACATACAGGCACAGCGACACACATTCCACACCTCCCCCAGGTGACAGCACTGCCCTTGGAACCTCCCCAGCTTCCGTCCCCGTTTTGTGTCCGTCCTATCACCCCCCCGCCCCACCTACTCCAGCACTGTGAATCCAGCTAGACCCTGGGACTGCAGCAGCTCCCAGCAGCTGGCAGCCCCCACGGGGCCCATGCCGCAGCTAAGGCTGCAGCCAAGCCCGGCTGTCACCCCCCACCTCCCTCTCCCCAGCCTGGAGCTGACCGCTCATCTCTCACGCAGATGATGAGTCCCCAGGCCTCTACGGGTTCCTGAACGTCATCGTCCACTCGGCCACCGGCTTTAAGCAGAGTTCAAGTAAGTAGCTTCTGGAGAGGGTGGGGGGAGGGATGGTCTGGCACAACCAGGGGCAGCGTTCTGAGGCTGCCAGGCAAGCCTGGCTGACTGCTCACAGGTGTCGGTGCCCCACTGTCCTGCCATCTCACCTCTTACCAGCTCAGTGCTGCCCCCCGCAGGCGTTTCTTGTCATTTCAGGGACTGGCAGCAGACAGGGCACCTGAGAGCCCGGGTTTGTTTCTTTAGATTTATTTATTACTATAAGAAAGTCAGATTTTCAGAGAAAAGGAGAGACAGAAAGATCTTTTGTCTGTTGGTTCACTCCCCAAGGGGCTGTAGTGGCTAGAATTAAACTGATCCGAAGCCAGGAGCCAGAAGCTTTTTCCAGATCTCCCATGCAGGTACAGGATCCCAAGGCCTTTGGCTGTCCTCGACTGTTTTCCCAGGCCGAAAGCAGGGAGCTGGATGGGAAATGGAGCAGCCATGGCAGAAGTTGACACCCATATGCAATGCTGTCACTTGCAGGGATAGGATTAACCAATTGAGCCATCATGCCAGGTCTTGGATGAACCTTTACTTTCCTATCTTTTTTTTTTTTAAGATTTATTTATTCATTGAAAGGTGGATATACAGAGAGGAGAGACAGAGAGGAAGATCTTCCGTCCGACGATTCGCTCCCCAAGTGAGCACAACAGCCGATGCTATGCCGATCCGAAGCCAGGATCCAGGAACTTCTTCCGGGTCTCCCATGCGGGTGCAGGATCCCAAGGCTTTGGGCCGTCCTTGACTGCTTTCCCAGGCCACACGCAGGGAGCTGGATGAGGAAGTGGAGCTGCCGGGGTTAGAACCAGTGCCTATATGGGATCCTGGCGTGTTCAAGGCGAGGACTTAAGCCGCCAGGCCACGCCGCTGGGCCCAACTTTCCTATCTTTTTTTAAAGATTTATTTTATTTTTATTGGAAAGTCAGATATACAGAGAGGAGGAGAGGCAGAGAGGAAGATCTTTCATCCAATGATTTGCTCCCGAAGTGGCCACAATGGCTAAAGCTGAGCCAATCTGAAGCCGGGAGCCTCTTCCCAGTCTCCCACACAGGTGCAGGGTCCCAAGGCTTTGGGCCGTCCTGGACTGCTTTCCCAGGCCTCAAGCAGGGAGCTGGATAGGAAGTGGAACATCCGGGACATGAACCGGCGCCCATATGGGATCCCAGTGCATGCAAGGCGAGGACTTTAGCTAGTAGGCTACCATACCAGGCCCTAGATCTTTAAAAAAAAAAAAAAAAGAAAATAGAATTGTGTGTTTACAGAAAGCCATGAGGCCTGAGCACTGGAACCATCCATCCATCCTCCACTGGTTTCCCAGGCGCATTAGCAGGGAACTGGATTGCACGTAGAGTGGCCAGGACTCGAATCGGCATCCATATAGGATACCGGTGTTACAGACAGTGACGCCACAGTGCCAGCCCACGGTGTAGCTTCTGCCGGGTTGCTGACTACCTTCACCGAGGCTCTCAGCAGGGGCCTCCACCCAGGTCCCCCAGCCAGGTGCCCCCATCACCCCCACTCTCCCACACCTACTACTGGGTAGGGCCAGGGTGCAGATCTCATCCTGTCATTTCATGTTTACAGCCCAGCCAGCCAGACCCTGCACACAGTCTAGCCCCAGTTACCCCCAACCCACTTCCTCCCCGCCTTCCACAACTTCTACCACATGGAGCCCAGATCTTGGCCTGGAGCCCTTTCACCCAAACTTTTTAAAATATAATTTATTTGAAAGGCAGAATTCGAGCCAGAAGGGGAAGGAGATCTTTCCTTCCATTGCTTGACTCCTCCAAATGGCTGAGATAGCTAGGACAGGGCCAGACTGAAGCTAGGTGCCAGGACCCCAAGCACTTGGACCGTCCTCCACTGCTTTCCCAGGAGCATTAGCAGGGAGTTGGATCAAAAGTGAAGCAGCCAGGGGCCCGGCGCAGTGGCGCAGTGGTTAAGGTCCTCGCCTTGAACGCCCGGGATCCCATATGGGCGCCGATTCTATCCCGGCAGCTCCACTTCCCTTCCAGCTCCCTGCCTGTGTACCGGGAAAGCAGTGGAGGACGGCCCAAAGCTTTGGGATCCTGCACCCGCGTGGGAGACCCGGAAGAGACTCCTGGCTTCGGATCGGCATAGCATCGGCTGTTGTGCTCACTTGGGGAGTGAATCATCGGACGGAAGATCTTCCTCTCTGTCTCTTCTCTCTGTATATCCGCCTTTCCAATAAAAAAATAATAAAAGTAAATCTTAAAAAAAAAAAAAAAGTGAAGCAGCCAGGACTCAAACTGGCAGCCATATGAGATGCTGGCATCGCAGATGGCAGATCCCTTGGCCCAAGCACTTTGCCCAGGTCTGTACAGAGTACAAGGTCTTCCCTAGCTCCGCCCAGCTTGTGTCCCTCCTGCATCCAAGGCCTTTGCCATGACCTTGCTCCACACACAGCAGTTGTTGCCCTAGGCGCTTGTGACACACCAGCTCCCCTCCATCCAGCCCACCCAGCTCACCCAGCCCATGGGATCCTTCTCATCATGGGGGGATGAGCTGGGGTTTGCTGAGGAGCTGAGCAGATGTTCTCAGAGCCTGTTTCCCTGCTTCCCAGGACAAGGGAGTCACGTGGGGTACTGCTGTTTATGCCAGTCACTGGTTGCTTTTATTTTCAAAAGGAAATTAAGGGGGCGATGCTGTGGCTCAGCAAGTTAAACCACTGCCTGCAGCACCAGATTCTCATACAGGCAGCAGTTTGAGCCCCGGCTGCTCTACTTCCCACCCGGCTCCCTGCTAATGTGCCTGGAGGAGCAATGGAAGATGGCCCAAATGCTTGGGCCCCTGCACCCACATGGGAAACCTGGGTGGAATTCCAGGCTCCTGGGTTCAGCCTGGCCCATCTCTGGCCTTTGCAGTCATCTGGGGAGTAAACCAGCAGATAGAAGACCTGTTTCTTTGCCTCTTTCTCTCTAACTCTACCATTCACATAAATAGATTTGTTTTAAAAAGAATCTTTTTTTGTTGTTTTTTTTTTAAGATTCATTTATTTCTTTGAAAGGGGAAATTTTTCATCTACTAATTCACTCGCCAAATAGCTGCCAGGGTTGGGTTGGACCAAAACCAGGAAGCAGGCGCTCCAGTCAGGTCTTCAATGCAGGTGCAGAGCTCAAAGCATGTGAACCATCCTCTGCTGCTTTCCAGGGTGCCTTAACAGGGAGTTGGATTGAAAGTGGAGCAGCTGCTACTCAAATCTGCACTCACCAGCCCAGTGTTGTGGCCTAGTGGCTAATTTCCTTGCCTTGCATGCACCAGGATTCCATGTGGGCGCCGGTTCTAATCCCGGCAGCTCCACTTCCCATCCAGCTCCCTGCTTGTGGCCTGGGAAAGCAGTCAAGGACAGCCCAAATCCTTGGGAGCCTGCACCTGCATGGGAGACGTGAAAGAGGCTCCTGGCTCCTGGCTTTGAATAGGGTCAGCTCCAGTCATTGCAGCCACTTGGAGAGTGAACCAGCAGATGGAAGATCTTTCTCTCTGTCTCTTTCTCTCTCTGTAAATCTGACTTTCCAATAAGAATTAAATCTTTTTTTTTTAAGTCTGCACTTACGTGGGATACCAACCTTATTGAATCAGCAGCTTAGTCCACTGTACCACAGTACAATCCCCAAAACATTTGCTTTCTAAATATGAAAATCACTCCAGCTCTCCTATGGAAAAACCCCAGCAACCCTTCTCCCGGTCACCTCCCTACAGATCTGTACTGCACCCTGGAAGTGGATTCCTTCGGGTACTTTGTGAACAAAGCAAAGACGCGAGTCTACAGGGACACCACAGAGCCCAACTGGAACGAGGTGAGGAGTTGGGTCCTGTGAGGGTTGTCCTCCATGACGTCTACACGGCCAGGGGTTCCCAGGGACTTCCCCCTCCTCACCCACACTGATCCCTTGCCATCCATCTGTGCTTCCGGGAATGTCCCAGGGAGCAAGAGCTGGCACGTCCCAGGCAGTTGGGGATGACGCATCCCGGAGATTTTTATCTGTGTTCCTAAGAATCGAACTCTCGCTCCTGCCCTTCAGTGAGGAAACAGTCTCTTTTGATGGAAAGCGTTCGGAAGGAGAGCTTCAAAGGGGTGGTGTCTCCCGTGTCTCTTGTTGTCACTCAGTGTTGACTTGCTGTTGTCATAGTGGTTTTTCCTCTGAAGTTGACAGGAGCCTGGGGGTTTCCAGAAGCCTGAGCTTTGTCTGATGTGGGACATAGAAGGAGGAGACTGGTGTGTGAGACTAAAGGTCCTGCTCTCTGGCCCTGGCCAGCGTGCCACGTTCTGGATCCACAGAGCTGGAGTTGTTTTGTTCTGCTCTCCTGGACCCTAGATTGTGCTTAGCTATTTGACCTTGAACCTTCAGGGAGGTTGGATCCTTGGATACCTTGGATCCTTGGATCCCCACATCCTTGGATACCTACAACAGCCAGGGCTGGACCAGGCTGAGTCCAGGAGCCCAGAACTGCACCTAGGTCTCCCACATGCGTGATGGGGACCTCCCAGATCTGCAGTTGAGCAGGAAGCTGGAATGGGAAGCAGAGCAGGGACTCAAACCCAGGCAGCGGGAGGTGGGCTGCAGGTGGCCCACTCGGCGTCTGTGCCACTGTGCCCTACGACTGCCCCATCACTGTTATGTGATTAGTGGGCATGCCCAAATAGGAAGAGGGTACAGAAAACCCTTAGTGAAGTGGGCCTGCTCTGTATGACCCTTGAGAAAGGGGCTGAGTGGCGGCTGTGATGAGGAGGAGGGAAGGGAAGAACAGAGCCACACAGGACCCGTGGTGAATGAAGGCTTTGCAGAAAGCAGGAGGAAGAAAAAGTGAGGGAGCGTTCTAGGCAGTGTGCACAGGGGCCAGGTGCCGGTCAGCCGGGGCAGGCCCTGGGAAGGGAGGTGCCATGGCATTGGGATCCCCGTGGTGACAGGTCACCAGGGGTCCCCCGCGCTGTGCCTGCCAGTCACCAGAGTGTTCCTGCGTATTCCTGGCACACATGCCTGTCTTCCTCTCTGTGGCTTTTTCCATGCCCCCTTACCCACCTCCATCTTCTCTCCAAGAGCTCCTAACTGCCCCAGCATGGGTGTGAGACGCACACTTACCTCTGCAACAGGCATCTCGCAAGCCTTGCCTCCAGTACCTCCCCTCGGTCCTCTTTTCTTTTTTAAATAGGATTCTTATTTATTTATTTATTTGTAAAATTGTATTTGGAAGGCAGGGTTGCAGAGAGAAGAGGAGAGACAGAGGTCTCTGTCTGCTGGTTTCACTGTCCAGATGGCCACAACGGCTGGAACTGGGCTAGTACTGGCCAAGAGCTCATAGCTTTTTTTTGGGTCTCCTGTGAGGTGCAAGGTCTCAGACACTTGAGCCATCTTCAGCTGCTTTTCCAAGGCACAGTAGCAGGGAGCTGGATAGGAAGTGGAGCATCCAGGACTTGAACCAATGCCAGCATCCCAAGCAGCGGTTTAATAGGATATGCCATGATACCAGTCCCAAATTTGTTTTTAATCAATAGATGCACCATCTCTTCTTTCTTAAAAAAGGATTTCTTATTTGAAAGGCAGAGAGAGAGAGAGAGAGATCTTCATCCGCTGATTCCCTCCATGGTGCTGGCAACAGCCAAGGCCAGGCTGCAGCGAAGCCGGCAGCTAGAAGCTCTCTCCTGATCTCCCATGTGGGTGGCACATAGATTGTCCCCCCGCTGCTTTCCCGGGTACTTCAGCAGGAGCCTGGGGCAGGGGGTGCCAGGACTCCAGCTGGCACTCTGATTGGTAACGCAGCCTTCCCAAGCAGTGTTTTAACGCACTGCTGTACCCCACCGGTTCTAGGATCTTGCTTCTCAGGGCAGTTTTCAGCCCACAGCGAAATTGAATACCTGTGTTTGACTTCATGAGCCCATGTTGACACATGATTGATTGGCGCTCAGAGTCCCCAGTGGACGTTTGGGTCACTCTGGGCATTGTATGTCCTGTGGCTTTGATGTTTGTATACAGATGTGAGCCCCTCACTGTAACATCATGCCTCATGTTCCACGGCTCCCCAGAATAATCTGACCCAGGTGGACGAGTCATTATTGGCCAGTTATAGAAGAGCTGTGAATTGGCGTTGTGTCTTTTTCATGTTGAGAGGTAGACAGAACTCCCACCCACTTGTTCACATCCCCGGTGCCTGAAGTGGTCACACCCAGGTTGCCCAGATACCAGGAACTAGAAGTTCAACAACGCAGGACCCCATTACATGAGCCATTCCTGTCCCCTCCCAGGGTTGGGTACTGGCCGGAAGTGGAACCAGCAGGGATGCTGGGTTGTGATCCAGGCACTCACTCCGACCTGAGGTGTCAGTATCTTTTGCATGGTTTATTTAATTATTTGAGTGGTAGAGTTACAGAGGGAAAGAGATTCCATTCAGTGCTTCACTTCCCAAATGGCTGCAACAGTTGGAGCTGGGCTGATCCAAAGCCAGGAGCCAGGAGCTTCATCCTGGTCTCCCACGTGGCTGCAGGGGCCCAAGCACTTGGGCCATGCTCTGCTGCTTTCCCAGATGCATGAGCAGAGAGCTAAATGAGAAGCAGGGCAACCGGGACTTGAACCAACACCCATATGGGATGTCAGTGCTGTAAGTGGCAGCTTTTTACCTGCTATACCACCGGCTTGACCCCAGATGTGGGCAGCTTTTTTTGTTGTTGTTAAAGATGTACTTATTTTTATTGGAAAGGCAGATTTACAGAGAGAAGGAGAGACAGAGAGAAAGATCTTCCATCCACTGGTCCATTCTCCAAACGGCCACAGTGACTGGTGCTGAGCCCAAGGACTTGAACAGGGTGCTGCATGGGAAGTAGAGTAGCTGGGACGTGAACTGGTGCCCATATGGGTTGCTGGCACTTGCAGATAAAGGAGTAGCCAACTGAGCCACCATGGCAGCCCCAATCGTGGGCGTATTGATTGTCAGACTCAGTACCCAATTTTTGTCTGTGTGTTTTTGAAACGCACCCCTGGGGTTCTGTTGCAGGCGATGTCAGGACCACCAGATAGATACTAGTGTAAAGATCTGGATTCAGCACTTCCAGAAGCCTGCAAGCTTGAGCTACAGTGTGGCGACCATAGGCCCATGTTCCTGAGGGTTCCAGGACTTAGTACGGACATCCAGGTCAGCTGGGGCCCTGTGTTCATAGGCACCTAATCCTTGCTTCCTTTCTGGACACTGCAGGAGTTTGAGATCGAGCTGGAAGGCTCCCAGACCCTGCGGATCCTGTGCTACGAGAAATGTTACAACAAAACCAAGATGGCCAAGGAGGACGGCGAGAGCAGCGACCGGCTCATGGGGAAGGGCCAGGTGCAGGTGAGGCCACCCTGTCTGTGTCCCCCACCAGACCTCTACCCGCTTGGGGCGCTGGACAATTCTGCAGTACCAGTGCGGGGAGCCTCCAGCCAGCGCCCCTCTGGGGTCCTCTCCTGCCTGTCTGCTTCTGTCTGAGTGGACACTGTACTTTTGCTTGCCCTGGCCTCAGAGGGGTGCCCCAAAAGGGGTCTTCTCTGGGCCTCTGGGACCTTGGGAGAACCCCCCAGCACAGCGTCAGGCAGAGCCACATGGGCCAAGATAGGCAATGAGGGGCTACCTTGTGGCAAAACACTAAGGGGCCCTGGAGTCGATCTGCCTGACAACTCCCCGCCTGCTTGGGGTCTGCTGCATCCCAAATAGGTACACACAAGTCCTCCCACACACGAGAGTGGGAGAAGAAGGCAAGAGAAGGTGTCCACATGCGACTTGTGGGTGGGTGACCCCTGGTCCTTTGGAAGTGTGTTTTGCTCCTGGAAGCCACCAGCAGCTCTTTGTGCCTCTCTGCAGATGAGGGTGCCAACACACCTTTCCCTAGCACTCTCTCCTGCTCCCATTTTCCCAGGCCTGCCTGCCACCTACAGCTCCAAAAACCTGGATCTTTCCCACCTGGGCCTGGGGGTCCTGATCCGCCCGCCCCCCTTGGTGCTGTCCATCTTCCCCCAAGGCCTCCAGCCTGTAGAGGCATCGGGCTGGCCCAGAGGCTCTGCCTCCCTTCTCTATAGACAGGAAGTAAAATTCCCTCGTGACATCATGAGTGCCAGGAAGGGAATCAAGAGAGAGCAGCCTCCCCAGGTCATTGGTTGCCCGTTGGGACCTGCAGATCCTGGCTGAGGGGTGCCCCCCACCCCTGTTGTCCTGCCTGGGCTGCCCAGGTTCTTATGATGGAAGCTTTTTGTTGGGAACTCTGTGTCTTGGGGCTCCCTGGGGCCTCCCTGGGCCTGGCACCACAGAATCATCTGCCGTTGCCCCTGTCCTCACCCCAGTAGGGAGCTCTCGGTTACCACCCCCTGCAGCCTTGTGTGGACTTTGGGGGTCGGGTACATCAACTCGTGTTTCAGAGGGATATGGGGGGATGGGTGTACTCATTATGATGCCACTTGGGTTCATGTCCCAGCTAGACAACCTGCTGGTGTCTACCCTGGGAGACCGTAGGTGACAGCTCCAGTGGTTAGGTCCCTGGTACCCACCTGGTTAGAGTTCCTGGCTTGACCCAGCCCTTAGGTAAATGAAGCAGCAGAGTGGGAGATCTGTGTGTGTGTGTGTGTGTGTGTGTGTGTTTCTGTCTCAAACAGCTAAACTAGTTCTTAGCCTGTGCTTTCCTCATGGTGCTTTCCTCATGGGGTGGGGGGCGGTGCCACCCAGAACCCCTGCCCTATCCCCGACAAGAGGAGGGCAGTTCTGTGGCCTAGAAAAGCCACAGCTGGAGGCTGGTTAGAGCAACAGACCCAAGCCTTCCACCAGGCTGCTGCGGCACAGGGCAGGCCTTAGCGCCAGAGCTGGGCACAGCGTGGACCAGTGGCATTGTATCAGTAGGGACAGGCTGGGGGTCTCTGGAAGCAGAGGGACAGACACTACAGGGTCCAGGGCATCCTGGCTAAAGCCAGGCTTCCTGCCGAGCACAGGTAATGACCAAAGCAAAGAATAAGGATGAAGTCGGATGCTCAGAGTGAGCTCTGATGCCAGGAAAGAGTGGAAAGTTGTGCTCAGCCTGCCTGGCAAAGCTCTTGGCTAAGTCTGCATTTAAAATTTTATTTATTTACTCACATATATATGTAAATAAACATAAATACGTAGAGATTATTGGAAAGGCAGGTTTACAGAGAAAAGGAGAGGCAAAGGACCTGACGCAGTAGCGTAGTGGCTAAAGTCCTCACCTTGAATGTTCAGGCATCCCATATGGGTGCTGGTTCGTATCCTGCTGCTCCACTTCCCATCCAGCTCCCTGCTTGTGGCCTGAGAAAGCAGTTGGGGATGGCCCAAATGCTTGGGACCCTGCACCTGTGTGTGAAAGACCTGGAAAAAGCTTCCTGCTCCTGGCTTTAGATCGACTCTGCTCCAACCATTGCGGCCGCTTGAGTGAGTGAGCCAGCGGGCAGATCTTTCTCTCTCTGACTCCCCTTCTCTGTGTGCATGTGCCTTCCCAATAAAAATAAATAGTCTAAGTTTTTTTTTTTTTAAAAAAAGGAGGGCCCGGCGCGGTGGCGCAAGTGGTTAAGGTCCTCACCTTGCACGCCCAGGATCCCATATGGGTGCCGGTTCTATCCCGGCAGCCCCGCTTCCCATCCAGCTCCCTGCCTGTGGCCCCGGAAAGCAGTCCAGGACGGCCCAAAGCTTTGGGACCCTGCACCCACGTGGGAGACCCGGAAGAGGCTCCTGGCTTCGGATCGGCATAGCATCGTCCGTTGTGGCTCACTTGGGGAGTGAATCATCGGACGGAAGATCTTCCTCTCTGTCTCTCCTCTGTATATACGCCTTTCCAATAAAAAAATTAATAAAAATAAATAAATAAATAAAAAGGAGACACAGAGAATGAAAGATCTTCCACCCGTTGATTCACACCCTAAATAAAACCAACAGCTAGAACAGATCCCATCTAAAGCCAGGAGCCAGGAGCTTCTTCCAGGTCTCCCACGCAGGTGCAGGGTCCCAAGGCTTTGGGCCGTCCTCTCCTGCTTTCCCAGGCCACAAACAGGGAGCTGGTGGGAAGTGGGGTAGCCGGGACACGAACCAGTGCACATGTGGGATGCTGGCACTTGCAGGGAGGGGATTGCCTGACTGAGCCAGTGCAGCAAGGCTTGAGCCTGGATTCTTTTGCTGGTTTACAAGGAGGCAGACACACAGTTCTGGGAGAAAATCCAGGAGAAGCCTGGATCCAACTTGGCCAAGCAAAGGCCTTGCCCTAGGATGCTGGAGGTCCCAGGTTGGCAGCTCATGGCTGTTGTAACCATAGTATAGCATGCCACCAGCTGCTCACCTGTCAGTCGCTAGGCCCCGGGCGTGACACGATAGGGTCGGGGGAGGGTCAGGAGTGGGTGACGCGACTGAAGCTCCCCCTCCCCCCAGGGAAGGAAGACTGTTTAGGGGTCAGGATCCCTACAGCAGCAGGTGCAGCCACCACAGCTGTGGGGTTTGGAGGTCGACACAGGGTTTGGGCTTCTCTCTGGTACGACCAGGCAGAGTGGGAATTTCCACCCAAGTGTAAGTGGGGCTTGCCAAATGGAAAATTCCTGAGAAGAACCAAAGTCAAAGGGATTTGAACAAGGATTCTGGCTCAGAACTGAGCTCTCGGAAGACATGGCCTGGTTTGGAATGGGGAAAAAAAAAAGAGCTCCAGACCGGGGGTGGGGGGTGTTCCTATATGCCGTCACACACTGCTGGCTGGATGTGTCCCCCAGAGGGAATCCCCCACGGGACACACCGGGCTCTCGGGGCCGAGGGAGTGTTGGCTGCCGTTTGTCATCTGTGGAGAAGGACGGGTCTGCCTCCAGGCCTCTGGCCCGTCAGTGCCTGGCGTAGGGGAAGGCGAATGGGGAACACGCCTTCTCCCCTCCCCTGCATCCCTATTTAATGGCCTCCTTAAATGGAAAGGAACCAAGCACACCGGGCCAGGGTGTGCATGAGTCATGCGCGGAGGTGGCGTCGGACTGGCCCCTGGAGACCGGGACTCCTGGCCACGACGACTTGTTTGTGGTATCCCAGGAGGAAGGAAGTCAGCGGAGGCGCCGGGGTCACTGCCAAACCCTGTGTTCTGAGTAAGGATACGTGGCAGAGGATGCTGGCATCGTCACAACGGGCCAGCCTCTCAGAAGCCAGCCTTTTCCCAGGAACTTTAGGCAGTGCACGCTGTGGTCAGATTGTAGGGGAGCTTGGGGGCAGTATATGGCCCCACATTCTGGAAGTGGCCCCTAGTCTCAGTGCACACCCCCTCCCGTCCATGGTCCCCACATGCACCTGACTCAGAAATGGAATGGGAAGACCCCTCCAATGGGAACGGATGGTCTGTGTCCAGACGGTCTGAGCGAGTGAGGACAGGAAGAAGTCTAGACCGGCGAGACGGGCACAGTATGCTGGCAAGTCCCTGAGGGAGGAGCCAGGGTTGCAATTGGAGTGCTGCAGGAGGTTCCAGGACCCTTGGGGGGTCTAGGTCCCCCCAACTCCACCTGTGTGCTGCAGTCCTCAAAGATGCTCATGAGCTCCGGGTTCAGGAACTGTGGGCCTTGCTCCTCTGTAAGTGTCGTGAATGGGTTGTCACATCCCCCTTACCTTTTTTGTTTGTTAGTCTTGTTTTATTAAAGATTGATTTATTTGTATTGGAAAGGCAGAGTTACAGAAAGAAGAGAGACACAGATCGTCCATCTGCTAGACTTTAGCCACTAGGCTACCACGCCAAGTCCAGAAGAGTTATTCTTCACACATGGCCATGCCCTCATGACCGAGCAGGTGCAAGGGGCCGGGTGAGGGTCCTTTCTAAGTCAGCCCTGCACCACAGTGAGCCATTAGAGCAAGCGAAATGCCCAGGCTCCCACCCTCCTACAGGAGGGCTTCCTGCAGCCAGGCCCCTGGGGACCCTGAGGACAGGGAGCCGTCCGACCCCAGGCCCTGTCATGCCCACTGTGGGGCGGGCACTCAACCCAACAAGTTAGGATGCCAGTTAAAATGTCCATGTCCTATGGGGGAAATATCAATCTCTGGCTTAGACTCCTGGCTCCAGCTTCCTGCTCGTGCAAACCCTCGGAAGCAGTCAGGATGGCTCAAGTATTTGGGAGACCTGGCTGGAGCCTCCCCACCACCTCGCCATTACAGCCACTTAGGGAACCAGCCAGCAGGGAGAAGCTCATTTGCTCTGTTTGCCTGCCAGTGTCCATCTATCTCTGAACAAATAAACAATCAATCAATAAAAGTTTGATGACTAGGGTTGTTGGCATAGACCCAGGATGGAAGATCTTTCTGTCTCCTTCTCTGTAAACCAGCCTTTTCAAAGAAAATGAATAACTCTTAAA